TCGATTATTTTAGTGGTAATATTTTCAGTCAAAACAGAAAAAGCTTTCCAATTTCCATGCAGCTTTCCTCCACATGTTCACCTGATTGTTGGCTCACTCACTCGCAAACCAGAGCCTGCAATTTTCCTTTCTTCTGCTGTCAGGGGAAACCACCGCTTGTGTCCTTCAATATTTCTTCTCTTACTTCTTCTTGACGAAAATCACAATACTTATTTATATCAATGAAATCTGGCTTGGTTCCAGCTCTAGTCCAGAAAGCAAAACCTTCAGCGGTTTTTCAGAAGATTTCACGACTTCTAGCCGATTAGCATGAAAAGGAAAAAATTCTGGAGCTTTTGAAATCAGTCCAAGCGATCTGTGACTTTTAAAGTAAGATTACAGTGTTTGTTCAAGTTTGTGGGAACGACTTTAAGCCTCATATTATCTCCACCAATCATATGAAGTTTGAAGGATATGACTAATACATGAAGAAATCGTGAAGCTTGCCAGATTCCTTTTGGATGCGTCCAGCCTGTTGCCGATTTGCTCTTTTGAAGTCTCTCTGCTTGGCAGCGTCTCATTAACGCGGCTGCTTCCGCCTGAGGACGACACTGGAGAACAGCTGCTGTTGAAATCAATGGTTTTGATCAGAGATTAGCTCATTTTCAACCTGGTGAAGCTTCATTCTGCTCTAATGTTTGGGTTCTTCCTGCTTTCTTACTATGAGATGGCTTCAGAATCAAAAAAAGAGATTATTTGATTTAAAAGCTGAATAGATCATTTTAAAAACATAAGAAAAGGGAATGGGTTCTTCACATTAGACTTGTCCTTTCAGAGTAAAAGGAAGCTACAGACTGCAGCTTTTACTTTGAAAGGATAACCTTGATTATTATGGGATGTTTATGACTCAATCTTGAGTAATATTTCTGGATTTTCTTCCCTCTGAATCAAAAACAAACTTATATAAACTTATATGAATTATACCAAAATCTACACCTACCTTTATATTTTGGTCCGTCTGATGATGTACTTATTTAATCACTTCCTGCTGGAAACATCAAAATAAAAGCACTTTGTTTTTTGTTTATTCTGAAACAATAATTTATTGATTTTGTTGTAACTTACACCCTGAATTTAAACATATTTACCATTTATAATTGAGAATAAAAGCTTTAAATGTGATTTAATATTGTGTCCTAATCATATGTAAATAATCAAGACTTTTAATCTCACTAAATATTTAGAGATTACTTGATTATTTCAATTTGTAAGTTACACAGAGTCACTCAAATTAGGAAAATTTAACAAATCTTTGCAGCTGTCAAACATTTTGGTGGAGGATTGATTATTGTTTTTCAGTCACATTATTAGTAATTATTTGAATTCTAATCAAAGTGCAAAGTTTTATTAGATTTTGTGGTTGTCGTTTAACTAAACTTTTAAAAACACTCAATCACTTCAGGTTAGACGGTTATAAAATACAGAACAAAATTAAATTTCCAGTGCAATTACATCCTATTTACCCTAATGTGTTGTAATGGGTTGCTGCGTACCGAGATGCATTATTTGGATAATAACAGCCGATTGCAGGCTTTGCATTGTGCCGAGTCCCTCACACTGTAATCAGATTTCATTATGCAGATTGTGTAGGAGGAGCTGCGGTTCGGGTTGACAGATATTCCCGTCCTGAAGCTGCAGGCTGAGCTTCACTCTCGGCTTTCAGAGGAAAGTTGTTGCTTCTGCCTTCTAGGAACAACGTTGGAGGAGGAGTTTGGTGACTTTTAGCTTTTGAGAAAATTAATAATAGGAAGAAATGTGTGTCTTTGTTTCTCAGGTTTGCTTGAAAACACATTAAAGCAACAATTTTGTCTTTTTTAATTACTTTTAGGCACATTGAGTTCTTTTAATTTAAGTCAACAACCTCACCTTTTAGAGTTGCCTCTGAAAAATAGATTAATTGTGGTCTAAATTATAACTGTTTGTTACTTCTATTGAACCTAATGATTCTTTTTATTTTATGATATTTTGTTGCTGAAATGTGTCGTGGTAATCAATTTGACTTTATGACGTTTTTGTTTGAATGCCAAAGTGGATTTTAATATTCCTTAAACGCGAGAAATAATTGAATTCTTTAAAAATTATGTGACTTTTTTGTTGTTGCTGGTGTTGGAGCCTTTTTAGTATTTGACAAATTATTTGCAAAATAATTCTAAATATATACAAATGGTCGAAAATCTTTTTTTTTTCTTTTTGTTGTGTTTAAGAGGAAAGGGCAGCTCTAAAAACCAGAAAATTAGCATTTATATGAGAATTTTGAATAAAGTCAACCAGATTATTCTCCTTTTTAATCCAGAAACTTCTCTGACGTTCTCTATTTAGTTTTTTTTTTTTTTGGTGCTAAATATGAAGCAATCGTAGCCATGACAGTTGCTTGCTCTGATGAAAAACTTGTGTTTTTGGTTGAATTGCTTCTTCCAGCTGTAGTTGTTCCAGCGTCGGCCATTTTTCTGCACATCATAATCATCCCCCTCCCAGCCGAGGCAAACTGGGGAGAGTAAACATGCAGAGCGCCACTGAGCTGCTCCAAACACACTTAATCACTTCTTGAGATTGGGAAGGTGTCAGCAGTGGGAGCAGAGGCGCAGCGTAAATATGTGCTGGAGAAATGGGTTGATTTGCTTCATTTACATTCAAGCGCCATGAAGTTGTCGTTCCGTTGTCAGCGCGACGGGGAATAAAGATGAGAGCGAGGTTGCTTTCGCCTTGGTCTCCTTCTGTTGGTTGATAAAATGACAGGCAGCAGTTGACTGGGTGACGGGACTCGCTGCGTGTTGCTGACAGCCCTCACCCAGCGCCGCTGATAAAGTCATCAGGGTCTCTGCTGTAACAATGCAGAGGCCCTGAGAGACACGCTGTATTTACAGTACGTGGCTCATGTAATAGGAATGTCGTTTGTACTCCCATAACATACACGGCACCGAAAGATAATTATTTCCTGCATATGTAGACACAGTGTGACGTCACGTCCCCTGCTTTCTGCTAGAGGGCAAAAAGATGCTTGCTAACAATGACTGGCATTGGTTTTAGCTGTTAAGTTATCAATAAAACACGTCATTTAAAAAAAAAAAGGAAGGCAGTGTTTGTAGTGCTATTCAACACTGCAATGACTAAACAACAAGTTTTAATTAAGAAAAAAAACACACCGCATAAGACGGACGGAAATAATTCAGTTATGCTAGCTTGACTATGACAACCGTAACATGTAGATGTGATGTGGAATTTAGTGTTTCGGTTTAGTTATAAATAAAAAAAGGCGACCTAAACACACCAACACAGTGGAGTTAGATCTGTTAGATTAGCTAATAGCATCAGTAGCTAATGTATCACTGATCTGCTAGATTAGCTAATAGCATTGGTAGCTAATGTATCACTGTTCTGTTAGATTAACTGATAGCATCAGTAGCTAATGTATTACTGATTTGTTGGATTAGCTAATAGCATCGGTAGCTAATGTATCACTGGTCTGTTAGATTAGCTAATAGCATCGGTAGCTAATGTATCACTGTTCTGTTAGATTAGCTAATAGCATCAGTAGCTAATGTATCACTGATCTGTTAGATTAGCTAATAGCATTGGTAGCTAATGTATCAATGTTCTGTTAGATTAACTAATAGCATCAGTAGCTAATGTATCACTGATCTGTTAGATTAGCTAATAGCATCGGTAGCTAATGTATCACTGATCTGTTGGATTAGCTAATAGCATCTTTAGCTAATGTATCACTGATCTGTTGGATTAGCTAATAGCATCTTTAGCTAATGTATCACTGATCTGTTGGATTAGCTAATAGCATCTTTAGCTAATGTATCACTGATCTGTTAGATTAGCTAATAGCATCAGTAGCTAATCTAACACAGCGATCACTTAATAATAATCTCAAAAATAAACATCAAGCCTCAAAAGATGAAACTATAATGGACTGAATGTTTTGTTCTTTGTGTGTTTTTTTTCCTTTGGTGTTAAATCCTGAGACATATTGTGGCGTTGTTGTAAGTTGCTATGGCAGTGACTTTGTTTGTAGCATAGCCGACACAAACAGCGAGAAAAACGAGGTTTTGAATTGTTCTTCAATAGTTTTTCTGTTATTTTCCCCCTGCACTGAATTAATAACTCCTACATCTGCAGGTTTAATTTAGTTAATGGGGTTGACTTTCAAGAAGTAATTATTAATGCCATCAATCTGGGAAGGATTAATAGGGCAATTAATCCTTCCCAATTTTCCCTGATAAAATGATGATAAAGTCATCATTTTACATTAAGAGAGATTATTAACAAGAGGAAAACTTTGAAGATTTCAAATGTATGCTTTCAAATTTACTGTACTTTCGATGTTGAGTCTCTTTTTCAAACTCAGTTTAACTTTCTCGATAGTCTAATTAAAAACACCTCTGGATTATTCTGTTTATTCCACTACAGTTCAAATAAACCATGTAGTTCCTGAGATGTAAGGAATTCCTCAAGGCTCTGTCTTTGGTCACAATAACCTTTAGTATTTATTCTGCCAATTGAGCCATTCTTTAGCAGAGAAATGTTCTTTCCATCTCTTTCTGAAGTTTCAAGATACAAATCACTCTCCCAAAGGTAAAAGTGAATTATTTTCTCTCTGTGCACCTTGGAAAGAAAACAGTGTTCCTGCTGCACGTGCTTCAAACCCCTAATGTGTATAGAGCCACAGAAATCAGCCTGACATGATCAGAGCTCAGGCCTTATGAGTCAGACAGGAAGCAAGGACTCTCCGTTTTCCTGATTCGTTTCCGTTTGAGTGGTTCAGCCAAGCAGAAACATCATCATTGTTTCACGTCCCGGTGTGTTTTCACCAAAGCTGGGTCAAAATGTCAACTGAAATCCCCGTGGGAATTACAAACATCCGTCGTGTTTCCAGGAAGTCCCAACAAATCGCTCACGATGCCAGCTTATTGTCTTATTGCTGTTATGTATTCAGAAGGTGTTTACACGTCTTCATGGAAACGGACATTTCTTTAGTTTCGTCCGTCACCTCGGCAGAAAGTGACTCCTTGTTTGTGTTTGTTTCAGTTCCTCCGTCGTTATCGGTCTTCCAGCAGTCCTTCAACGCCACAGCCGACTACCAGGAATCAGTCACCTTCACCTGCATCACTTCTGGATCTCCTGATCCTCTGGTCACATGGCACAGGTAATCCTCTTGATACATCAAAATCCATTCATTACCTTCAAAATACGCATTTTTGTGGTATTATAATTGTCTTAAGTTATCGCGATAATATTTTTCTTTTAAGAGAATTTTTAAGTAATGGTAAGAAACGATTCTGAACTTTAAATTCTAGTGAATATTTAGCGCTAAAACTGGAAGACATTTTAAATATCCAACATAAATAAACTAAACAACAAATAAGACGAATTATGAAGTTTCTGTAAACAAAATTGCCCTTCACAATAAAGCGAGTTGAGACCAAAACACCAGAATGAAAATTTTTATCATTCAGTTTTTAGTAGAAAAGAGAAAAATGCTAAATTATGGAAATGGAAATAATTGACTTTGTTTTATTTATTGCTTGTGGGTCATACATGATCCTTTATTTATATTTGTCTTCTTTATTTTTCATTTTCTGCTTGCAAAGGTTGAAATTAAATAAAATTTACCAACTAAATGTCAGTCAATACTTTTCATAGTCAGTAGTTTCATAAAACAACTGATAAATTAAAGATAATCCAATTCACCTTTCAATCAATCAAGTTTATTCATATTGAACATTTGATGTGTTGTTACACATCAAAATGTCAATTAATGTTTCATGTATGATGTTTGAAAAGCAACTCTAAACTTGCCTAAATTGAAAACAAACTCAGTGTTTCGGCTGTTTTGCAGTTTTCTTTAAGTGTTGTAGATTTCAGCGTCTCAGATGAGTCACTGAACAGAGCAAGTTTCAAAGTTTGTGAACGGAAAGCGTTCAGTTTCTGCTTTCACGCTTGTCTTTTACTCACACACTCCAGATTCACTTCTTGTATTTTCAGTTGCAGACAACAAAGATATCATGTCGCAGTTCCAATTAGGGATTCTGCAATCCGCCCTCACACATCACCTCCAACAGCTGCAGAAAAAGATCAAATGTCAAACAGCAGCGGCGCGAGAATTTGCACCAGACGTAGTTGACACTATCCACTCTTCTCTCCAACATCCAGCAATTAGCCTGCTCCCACTCAGCAGGCAATTGTGACAAGCTCTTTGCACCTGAGCATCTGTTGATGGCACTTTATGGGGATTCAATTGTAGGTCGTACTGTTTCCGTCTTTTTCTGCCTTTCGTCTAAACGGAGCACAGAGGCGGTGTTTTCTACCACTATTTTCATCGCTGCGAACTGTAAAGATGTCACAAATGGTTGTAACTGTGACTCGCTCCGCTGCGCCGCTGTTTCTCTGTGACTTGTTTCACACTCTGTACTGAATTGAACACAAATCCATGGAACTCAGGAAGAAAAATGAAACGTTCTTTAGAAACTCACGAAGACGTGTCAAACCTTTCATTGAACAAATTCACCTCTTTCCACATTAGCACCGACGCTTGTAATAATTTAAAAAGTAAAACGTCTCTTGTCAAAAGGACAACATTTAATCTTCTCTGGTAAAAATTGAGCGTCAATAATGTGACCTTTAACTATTTCTGTTCAGGATTCAGGTTTAAGAGTCAAACAAAAACACATTTCTTTATTTATTTACATTTATTTTAGTCCTCTGATACATCAATTAATCTTTCAAAATAATCCACTCCATTTAACAATTACGTAAGTCCATTTTTACAACCAGAACTATTTTCCTAACGCTGAGTTTTTTTCTCCATTTTTAATAAAATCTTGTGTCAGTGACTGTACTTCCGGGAGTATTCACTTTTAACTTTTTTCTAACTTTTAATATCTGTACAAACCTTTATTAACAGTTCATAGGTCTCAGAAAAGGTCAAAGACAACAACAAAAACAGAAATAGTGCAAGAATTCATATACTTGTCATTTTGACAACAGGACAAAAAGATTGTGGAGAAGATTAAATTTGCTTTTAAATGACTATAATTGCAAAGCGATGTTGTTTAACCAACTTAAAAGTAGCTGAGTTAGAAAAACAAAGCTGAATTTCTCCAGTTTGACAGAAAAATCGATGGTCAAAAAACACAAAAAGTTTGAATCTCTGGGTGAGACGCAGCCTGTCGACTCGGCACATCAACTCAAACTCACTTTTTCTTTAAATTCAGGGTTTGGATCAGTAAGATGTAGGTTTAGATTATCAGAGTAACGGGATAGTTGGTTATTTCAGAAAAATACATCCTGATTATCTTCTGTTTTATCCCCTCTCCTGCGTTTCTAACAAAAGGTGAGCGACTGACTAGAAAGTGGCATATTTTTTATATAAAACTGCTGTTTTCCATAATTTTCATAAATTTCCAGAAAACATATTCAAGAAACAGTAGCACAACTTCAACACATTTCTACTCAACTCAAGGGAAATAGTAGTAAATTACTGAAGTCAGAGTAAAGAAAGGATTTGGTTCTTCAATATTTAAAATTACATCATAAGATGGTCCAAATATAAAGTTGAGTTGGTATTTTAAAATGATAATTTTTGTAGTTTTTTAACCAAAAATTAAAAAAATCAGACAAAAGAAAAATAATAAAAAATTTATGACATGTTCACAAAAACAGCAGGTTTGTGTCTGGTGACTTTAGGTTATATAGCAGATAATTGATCTTTTGGTTTTATATTCTAGTCATAAAATCTGACTTGTTCACTTCTACTGAAGAAAAAACAATATTTGTGCTCGGTCCTGTGGATGTAATCACTCTGCGGCTCGTTTGACTGCCGCTAATCCAGGTACGACACATTCTGCTACGCATTAGCGTTCCAATAATCACATAAAAGCCATTTCAGTGGTAGATAATCAACAGGCCCACTGACTGGAACAGTGGAGTTGTGTTTCCAGCCAGGAGGTCGCTCACACACCTCACCAGCAGACAAAGAAAACGTCTTTGACGCCAACAATAAATCACAACCCAATTTAGTTTTTGCTTCTGATCTCAGGCCTTCCAGCGTATTCCAGCCTCACAGCTGCATTTCCTGTCAGAGTGAGGCCTCACCTCGTCCGCTGTGCATCTTCGGTAATAGACTACCTGTCAGCAGTCAGTCAGTGTAATGACATCCACTGCTGTGGCGCGTCCAGCGCTAACATGACGCCTCTCTTCATTTCCTCTCCACCTCGTAAAGTTATGATTACTTTGCTTTGGTGTTTCTCCGCCGACTTTAAATGAGGCTTTTCCTACAAGATGAGGGGGCTGGTTGTGTGTAGAGATGAACAGCTCTGTAAATATAGATTCAGCAACACAAGTTGTTGGCTTGTCCAGATGGAAATTCATATTTGTTTCAATGCATAGAGCTAGGCTAAAAAAATTAAGATTGCCCTCCTTTAACTTTTAAAAATCTAATGGTAGAAGGTTTTTATGCAGTTATTAAAATTTGAGCTTGAATCCTGCTATTTAAGAAACAACGATATAAAAAGTAACAGGGAGGGGAGAAAGGAAAGAAGCTCCTCCGAAAGCGACATTATCAGCCGTTTGTTCAATAAAAACTGAACACAAAATGTTCAGCAAAGACGTCGGAGCTACATCTGTGATTGCAGATGTTTTTCACCACGTAGTATTTTGGTCTCTAAATTTCATCTCTGTGCTACAGAGAGGCTTCTAGAGATATGTTGATGTGTTGAACTTGGAAGCGTTGGACGTGTTTTGTGTTTTTGACGTGTTTGGTGTGATTAAAAGTAAAAACAACAAATTGTGAATAAAACCGAAAAGGTCATAGCATCAGTTTGGCAGTGAGTCAGATATTTAAAACAGAAAAGAAATCAATTATTATCGACTGAGATGCAACACTTTTTATTGCAAAATCAAATAGTTTGTAGACATTTCGATTTTGATGCTTCAATGTCCAAAAGTTTTTTAGATCATTCACTCAGTGCCTCATTTGATGTTGTTTTGTCTAAATGTGCTGCAGAAATTTGACATTTTCCCCCCAATAAAATCCGACTCTTACCCCTGTGGATTACACGGCTGGTTAAACAGCCACAAATAAACAAGCGGGGGAGGCAGAAAACCTGCTTCTCACCATTGTGCTTCTGCTTGGAAGCCTTAATATAGACATGGATCAATTTAGCTGCTTGTTTTTTTCCCCCCTGATTAATTTTCCAACAGAGTCCAATGTGAAAAAGCATTAAGTCAGCACAGCTTTCAGTGCATCAGGAGCGATTTTAGCAAGTGCTGCAGTCCAGAGGTGATTGTCGACACATTTGAGAGGATATTTTTACTTTATGAAGTGTAGAAGGTCTGAAGGTGTTAGTTTCTGTTTGTGCAGGAAGGGGCAGCAGCTGGAGCCTTCAGAGAAGTACATTTTCAGCCAGCTGGAGGGCGGACGCAGCATGCTGACCATCCGAAACATCCGGCAGGCCGACGGAGGAACCTTCTCCTGCAAGGCCTCCAACAAGGCCGGCTTCCAGGAGAGAGAGCTTCTGCTCAAAGTGTTCGGTAAGAAAGTTAGAAACCAGTCAAAATCTTTGTCTTCAACATATTTATCACCAATTGAACTGAGATTTTATTAACCAGAAGAGTTGATTGGTTATCCAGAGTGTTAATGAAATAACAAGAACTGGTGTAAACCTTATATTTGTTGAATCTACATTAAGTGATTTAAAAAAGTATAGGAGTTTAAATCACAAACGGCTGCATTATTTATTAATCAACCTCACAGAATAGAGTAATTCTTCTTTTTCCTTTCTGCTGCATCTCCAGCAAATCCAGATGTAATAGCATTATCCATTACAGTGAGGAGTGTTTTATGTCCATCCATAAAGTTTTATGGTGAGGACGCTCACAATCTTCTTTTATCCTAAAACAGTTTTTCAAAACCGTCAGTCCAAACATGGCCGCCAGCCCACTCCACCACCAGCAGCTGCTGGAGAAAAATATCATTTATCGCTTCATATTTCGCTCAAATAAAAAAAAAATTCAATTCCTAATGTTATGAACCTGCTGGCTATTTGCTCTGATATTCCTCTCGTGGAAATATGTGGAGAAACGCTTGTTCGTCAAAATGCGCATTTAATGGGGAAAGCTAAGCAGCAGGGAGGAGCTCTCCTTTTGACTGCACTGTAGGGAAATGCTGCTGCAAGTTAGTTTTATTACTCCTGACAGCAAAGGCAGAGAGAAAACGGGTCATTTACTGTGAATTAGACGAGATATTTGCAGGTGATTGCGCCTTTTGTTGGCCATCAGAAAACCTGACACACCCTACACAGTTAAATTAGTTTTTGAGTTCTCCTCATTCTCATTCCATGTGTCGACGTTAGCGCTGCCGTCTGGGCCCAGAGTTTCTTCTGAAGCAGCCCTTGAGCTGTAAAGAGAGCGTTCTGTCAGTCTTCAGGGATTATTCCAGCTCGTCTTGCTTTCAGGCTCCAGAGTGAGTGTCTGTAAGAAACAAATCCACACAGTGAGGGAACATCGACATGCACAACACCTCTGGGTTAGAAACGCCAGCAGCGTGGCTTCAGGGACGTCTCAGCTCCCACCTCAACTTGGCCCATGCTGAAAATATTATGCATAAAAAAAAATTACATTAGCAACTTGTTAACTTTTTCTTCAGGCTGAGAAAATCACCTGCAGGTTTCGATTGTTTGACTGGGAATGTGATTTATTTCACAACCAACTGAAATAAGACAAGACTTTGTGTTTGATTTTTATTTTGCTAAAGCTACAGTTGTTGTTTTTCTCAACACCAACAGTCAGCCTAAAACTCAACATTTTACATGCTAACATATTAGCATGCTATCATGCGCAAAACATGTTACAAGATGAAGGAATGATTTTTTAATTTAGACTCAAAAGATTTGACTTCATTTTTCTGTTAGTGATGCACTTCTCTTCACACAGGTAGCTGTGATTCTTATATTTATGTCCACTGGACTCAATTAGGAGTAAAATACAGAAAGGAAGATGCACTACGGTTGAGTTTCAGGATGAATTACAAAGGATCTGAATATTAAATGCACCGCTAGGATTTATTTTCTTCCTCCAGCAGCAATCAGGAGAAATTCATCATAGCGGCTTGGGAGATTTATCTCTGCAGACAAAATCTGAGTGTTCTGCCACTTTTTCTCTTACGGTTTCGCCAGTGACGCGTGAAATACAATATCTGGTTTTCACATCACGACATTGTTCTCGCTTCTTTTTTTTCCTAATGAGTGGAAACATGACACACAATCCAAGGATCCGCATAAGAAAAAGAGCAAGGAAAGTAAACAGCATCGGTTTTCAGCGGTTTTAAATAAACCGAAAAATGTAGATGATGTAGCAGAACAGGCCCAGCGGTGGCTTTTATCATTAAAGCCTGGTAGCTATTAGCAGTGGATCCAGGAGGGAGAATCTGTGCTGACATTTGTTTTATGGATCTGCTCGGCTAAAACAACAAATAACACATTAGGCCAATCCGATGCAGCGAGTTGAACATTTTTGCTTCCTGACGCCTGTCTGTGGGTGGGATAAGAGCTTTATGTAACATCAAAACTTCCAACAGAGACGGCAAAAATAAAACTCATCTGAAAATAGGAGCTTTTTCCAGCTTTAATTGTGCAATTTTAAACACTCAAACTGTGTGTTTATGTTGCTTTCTTGTGACTTACATCACACATATGATAATGAAATGCTTGGCGTCTAACTGATATAATAAACTGTAATGATAGTGATAAAGAGAGTCGTGATCGAACGACGTTTTCAACACTTTTTTCTGCTTCATGTCAGAAGATGGAAGCAAAAACATGCAATGAAAGGAGAGCAGTTTGTTAATCGATCAAATTTAATGGCCGACTTCAACTGTTTCTGCTTTTTTTTCCATTTAATGCATTTTATGTTTCAGTAACAACCAGAGATTCAGACACACTGGCCTTTAAAAGGTTAAAATCTATTAAATACTGAAGATAAATGTTTTTGATTAAAGTAGAAAGAAAAATTTATATTTTTATCAAACAAAATTGAAATTATTTCAGTCAAGCTGAAGATTTTAGACTGTAGTGTTTATTTATTTTATTTGCATTGATGAATCTGAACAACACCTTCAGGATTTATCTAATCAGTCAAGTTCAATAATAAAACACTTTTGTTTTATTATAAAAAATTATTTATCTTAAAACAAAATCAAGTGAGATTTAAAAACATGAACGAATCTCTAGAAGAAAAAATTTTCTGTGGAAAAATTATGCATAAAAACAAAGAAAGTGAAGTTGGATAAGTTGAAGAGACGGAGACGAAAGATGTTGAAAAAATGGGAAAACGTCAGTTTAATGTCAAAAAACATAATTAAAATGCAAAATTACTAAGAAAGGCTGCTTAAATAGGGTGTAGTAACCTAAACTCTCCACATGAGGGCGATGCAGCAAAACAGAGGAACAAAAAGTGCAAAAACAAACAAAACAAATTCATATTTAGCACAAACAATTATCTACTAATGTCAAAAAAGTTTCGCCTTCATTCTTTGTAAAAGATCTAAAATGTCTTCCACAGATGCAGAAACTATTCATTCTGGTGTCTTTTGTTTGTTTAACTTTGTAATTTCCTGGTTTTTGTCATGGAAACACCTTAAACCAACTTGATTTGTTTGACTTTGTAACCAAAATTCTTTTCTATAATCCAGCAGAAACAACCAAAACTTTGAAGGTCGTTTAATTCTCGACCCTTCTCATCAAAATGCATCTCAGCTCTCCCTCATTTAGACCTGAAATATTGCAGATAATTCTTTATTAATAACTTTCCCAGCAGAGGGATCTTGATGAATGGGACGTTTTCAGTGTAATGTTTTCACAATGAGGGAAATCTGAGGCTGAAAATGAAGCGCTCCCTCTCTACATCGGCCATTCAGACCTTTCACTGTGTGTGTTTTGTGTGTTTCTCAGAGCTGTGAAAGTTTTAAAAGCTTTTAGAAAGTGTAATAGATGTGGCCAATCATCCTGAGTGCTCCACCCGTCTCCCTCTTAGCAGAAATCATCCCAGCAGCCATTTGGTCTCATTATGAACCTTAAACTGAGTCGGTCAATTGTTTAAGGTAATTTTGACTTGTTTTCTCCGTGATCTTTTGTCGTTGGATAAAAATAGCTCTAAATCAGGCTTGTGCTGTTATTTGAAAACGGATACTTGATGTTGAATGAGCTCCAAATTATTCTGATTTGGCTTTAAAGAGTGAAATTAAGGAAAATGTCCCAGTTGCCAAGCAGATCTAAAAAAATATGAATACTATGAAAAGTTCATAGAAATATATTTGCAGCCTTTAATTCTTCATGAAATATGATATTACACTTCTGAAAAGCATTGTAAATGACTAGGATTGTTGTAAACAAGTGTTTTTGTAATCGAGCATTCTATCAATTATTCTTGTGAGTAATCGGATAAAAAAATTATAAAATAAAATATTGGTAAATCTAACTTAACAGACAACAGCTCTATCATCATAATGTCCTCCACCAGCCATTTGTTGTGATGCAGATGGTGGTGCGTTTGTTTTCCGGTTCGTCTGTAAAGCTACACTTAATCATCTGCAGCGCAGACACCCGCCGCGCACTTCACCACTGTTCACTATGAACAGCAGGCAGCAGCTCCACACTTAAAAATTGGAAGTTATGCTGCTAACACTTAGCTTTCGTCACTGCACAACAGAAATAATCACAAAAAGGTGTGCTAAATAATAAAACATCATTTAATGAAGGATAAACATTCCACAAGAAATTTGATTAACTGAGAATTGAATTGTCCCAGGAATCTTTACAGCCCTATCAAAGATTAGCATTTACAATATAGTTCAAATGTTTCCAAAATTTCAGCGTTTTTAGGGACATATGGCTTCAGTTCTAGGAGAATTTTTGTTTTGTTTCTGTAAACTCAAACTTTTCCATCATTTCCATCCATTGAGAAATGCATCTTTTTGTTTTTGGAGAAGAAACTTTTTCTTTTGTTGGAAATAGAAACACTTCTCCACTGCCAGATGGCAGCAGCGTAAAAACGTAGTTTCTGTGCAGCTGTTTTAATCCTGCTGCAGGTTTTCTGTGTTTTCTCCTGCCAGTTTGAGATGTTTCTCTGTCGCTCAGTTTTCTAATTAAAAGTGTCCAACTTGGCTCTGGAGTTCACCTGTAAAACCATTGAGGGTTCAAACGCTAGATATGGCTGCATCTTTTCTAACTTACTTCCTTCAGTAACATTAGCAACATTAGCAACTCCTCCTCTAATTCTGTCTGGATTCTTCCTTTTTGAAGAATTTGAATTTTATTCCAATTCAGTAACAAACTTAGTTTTTAGGCATAATTCATGGAGGTTTTATAAATACAAATGTTTCATCTTTGCATGGCATTAAAGCCAATATTACATTATTTTAATTGCAATTATTTCTTAATAATTAAGTCCAAGTCATTCCACTTCCAGGTGATTTAATAAGAACTGATGGATCAATACTTTCTTCCTCCACCGTCTCAGGCTGGTATTTACCCACAAACCTGTTTCCGTCCATTGATCTGTTTACTGAAGGTGCTGAGAGGTAAAATAATACAGGTGTGTGTTGATGTGTGTTGATGTGTGTGTGTGTGTGTGTGTGACCCTCGTGTTTTGACAAGCTCTCCAAATCCCAGTGGTAGCTAGCATGCTAACAGGTGAAATCTCTGCCTCCTCGCGCCGCTAAAAGCCTTCAACTCACTGTTTCCTGTTCACTTCCTCGTTTCCTTTCGGATTTGATTCCACGCTACGTCTTCGCCGTCTGCTGAGGATTTACATGGAGAGAGTAATCCATGATTCATGTAGCGTGTGCTGCGCCCTTGACATGCATCAGGGCTTGCTTAGTGCACCTTATCAGGTGGAAGCGAGGAGGGACCGGCCCTCAGTGGCTTTGCAGCACTTATCTGCTTTTAGTGCATCAAAAGCAAATCACACGGTGTTGGAGAGGAGTCTTCCCAGACAAAAATCTATATTTATTCAAAGAAACGCAGAGGTTTGTGCCTCAAAACTTCACCAAAGTCGCTTTTCTGTTGCTGTTGAATCAATGCAAAAAGGGACAAGAGGCCAACCTACCCCACTACATCAAAGCTGTGAGGTGTGACTGCGGTGAACAAATGATCTTGGCCCATATCGTCAGAGCAAAGTCATGCATCAGCTCCGTGTCTAAACCCCACGGTATCGCCTTCGTCTACTCTACTTTACGAGTTGCAGCACATACTTGACAGTTTCACTCCTGCTTCCTCTGTCCTTCCTCTCTGCTCTTTCTTCTCTAATTTATTTCTCTCGTCCTCCGCGGCCGGCCCGCAGTCCAGCCCCACATCACCCAGCTGAAGAACGTGACAGCCGTGGAGGGCAGCGCCGCCATGATCTCCTGCGTGGCCGAGGGCGAGCCTCTGCCTGACATCTCCTGGAGGAGAGCCAGCGACGGGCAGACCTTCGTGGACGGAGACAAGGTAGACGCTGCCAGAAAGTCCATCTGGCTTCCTGTGTGTGTGTGTGTGTGTGTGTGTGTGTGTGTGTGTGTGTGTGTGTGTGTGTGTGTGTGTGTGTGTGTGTGTGTGTGTGTGTGCCGTTTGCTGCGTCACACACCAAGCGGTCGACTTTAAGTTGTGTAAAACAAATGGGGCGTAACTTAGAAGGGGTGAGGAGGAAGTTGGCCAATTTTCCACACTAGAAAAATTTTACGATCTTGCAATTTTTTAATTCAAATGTACCAAAACAAATATTCTACGTTGATGCTATTACATGGTTTCAGTTAACATTTTAAAAACTACAACCTTGTAAGTATAACTAAACATTAAATCCACCAAGCAAAGTGGGCGGAGCCAAGAGACACTAAGGGGCGTGGCCACTGAGGGGGGGTAAAATGGTGCAAACTTTCCAGACACTTCTATTGAATTTATCAAAAAAACAACTAATGGCAAGTTAGAAACTATTTCTTTTGCTTGGTTGGAGACTTTGAGTGCAAAAATGCTTTCTTTTTTACACAAAATAATGCAGAACTCAAGAAATTAACAGAAAATTTTAAAATTCACACAAACATGGAGAGAACTGTAAAAAACTATTTATCAGGTGTTTGTATCCATTTGCACTGATTCCTTCCTGATCGGTTTTATGGTTGGACATGATTTCAGAAAGTTTGATCTGATTTAACTTCATAAAATGTTAGATTTCTGGTCTCAGCTGTGCATTTATGTGGGTTTACGTTTGGTTGGAAAGTTGATTTTTTAATCCCATCTCCATGTTTTAGGTCATTTTGTGGCTTGCAGAGGTTATTCTGGGGTCAAACGGGTATAATTTAAGGAGCAGCAGACACGAATAGACGGCTGTCTTTCCATGCGTTTATAAATGTTAAAAGGCTCAAAGACATAACTTATGCGCGTTCACCCTGCGCTCATACCTGGCTGAGTTTATGGTCTCACAGGAAATCAGCTCGCACTTTTTATTTTGTTTCGCTCCAGGCTAAAAGAAGCACCAAGGACCTTGAAGTTCTCAAGGTAAATGCTTCGGGTTTCACTTTGTTTGGTGTTTTTCTTTCACCTAACAAGGCTTTGTGTGATGCACCCTCAAAAAGTCTGGCTCTGGATTTGACTCAAGTATTTATTTTTCACCAACGTACTGTCAGTGTTGGCATCGGACTGAGGTTTCCACAGAAGAACAATAAGAACCAAACAAAGGAGCCAGACGATCTTTTGCTGGGAAAAAGGTCACGGCGGAGATAAATGAACGTGTGCGTTGGCTCGAATCGCTCGGCTTGATAAATCACAGCCGAAAATGAGAGTAAGTGCTTCTCTCCCCCACTGCAAATGCAATTATGGAAATGCGCGGAGCAAACCAACACACCTAAACATGCGCAAAGACAAACATGAGTGGAGCGGCGCCCGGGCGTGATGGATGGCAGCAGTCATTTGGGTTTAAGGCAGAATGCTCCTCTCTCAATTTGCTCTCCAATCTGCATATCCAGGCTGCTCTCGCTCCTCCTGCTGAGGCGTCTTGCACCGAGAGGCTTAGTTTTACTCTCTACATAATGTTGCTTGCTTCGTCTCTTTCTTTCCCTGCTAACACCATGACCCTCGGAAAGAGAGCATAATGGGAGGCAGTTTGTAGGATTTAATTAGGTGCTGAAGGAGGATTTGAGTTGGTGTATTGTTTCATTACTTGGTGTTGTGAGGTAAAGCTTTTATTTATTCCTAACATCCCAGTATAAGGAGCTTCTGACGGCGATTAAAACTGAGTTTTGATGGACGTTTCTGCGAAGACTTGGGAGCTTTTCTGGGAATCACTGAGTCACTTTGTCCATAAATAATACGCCATAAATAGACAGTTATGCTGAAAAAGAGAGCGAGTGACTCAGACGCAGCCAGCAAGATGCTTTTTTTAAAATGCCACTGATTACCTTTAAGACTGTGAGTGAAATGTCCTGGTAGCATAGTTCGTTCTTTCACAATAAAACGTCCACATTCAGAGGTTTCTATGACTCTACTTGGCTAAAACGACGATGGCTTAAAGAGAAACGGGAAAGAAATATTAGCTTGGAAAAATGTAACTGAACATATTAATGATTACTCTGCAAAACTTTCCATTGAAAGCAAAAAAATTGACAGTAATAAATAAATGTTTGTTTTGTTTTGCTGCTGTTTTACATTTTCAATTCTCTTTCAATGGTTTCGTTTCTTTTTCTGCTGTGTTTGGCGCCACCTTTTGGATTGGAGGTCAGAAAGCAAGCAACAAAACTGGGATAAAACAAACTCCTCCAATGGACATATATGGTTGATGTAATTAATATTAGCTTAGATTAAATTAGGTTATTTTTTTAAAGCATCACGTTACTCATGAATCGTTTTAGAAAAATAGTAGAACAATTTTTTTAAGTTTCTTTCTATGAATGCTAGTCTAACAATGACTTGGTTTAGCTGTTAAGTTGTCAAAATGATGCGTTAAATCATAAATCTATGCATAATATATAAAGAAAAAGGGACACAGAGCTTTGCTACTAATTCAGTATTATGACAACTAGATACAAGGTCAGGAAATAGTTTTAGTTAAGAGGAAAAAACCGTGAGAGAGAGGGAAGTAGCTCAGTTATGCTAGCTTGACTTTGAAAACCTCAAACATGTAGACGTGTTTCAGTTCACTCACACATCAGCTCTGGCAGGTCATCAGTAGAGCAGGTGTTCAAATTAGCTAATCAACCACCCCATTGTTAGCTTAGCTGATAGCAGCGGTGGCTAAGCTACTACCGCTATCACTCATTAAATAAACATCAGGAGCTGTAACGGACCGAATGTTCTGTTCTTTGTGTGGAAAATGTTTGTGTGTATTTTGCCCTCTAGCATTGTGACATAAACGATAACATAGAGAGAGTTCATGGAACGATCCACTACAGTTTCATTAATGTTTTAACTAGTTCAATAAATAATACTTTTTTATTTTATATTTTTCTGAGGAACATTTTAGTTCTCGTCTATTTTTGGAGAATTGTTTTATTAAACGATCATCTTGTTGGCTTCTTTCTGGGTGCAGCTTCCTCCTTTTCTCTACAAGTAGTTGAACAAAATTGAGTGAAACTTTTGCTCCTTTATTATCTTCATCATAATAAAAGCGTAGCCTTGGAGGAGCAGTCGCAGATGCTACTGTTTGTTCTTCGATTTCCAGATAATTGAAATGTTTAGCCACCGACTGGCTTTGTTTCACTTTGAACCCGTCTCTCTGGCCTCCATTTCCTTGAAGCAGAAAAGCCATTATTAAATGTCATTTTGTTGCCTCGGTGAGGTCGAGGTGGCACAGGACTCATAAAAACCAGACGGACGCCGCAGACCTGATGCTCAGCCCCGCCACAGAGCGGCAGAGTCACACCGGCCTCACTGACATTTACCACTGACATTTTTAATAACTAAACCTAAAATAACACAGTAAAAGTCTACAAAGTCTATTTAAGAGTTTGTGTGCTTCATGCAAACGCGGACAGATATTGGTGCTTCCTGTTCCTGTTGCTACATGTGGCTCTCTGTTCACGTTTGGCCAGGTGACTGAGCTGCATATCAAGCAGGCCGAGCTTCAGGGCGCGGGTTTGTCTCCACACACAGGCCCTGTCAGTAGCCGAGTAATTTCCTGACTCAGAAGATTTCCTCTTCCTCTTTCTTTCTCTCTCTCTGCTGCCTCATCCTCAGCATCCTCATTCAGCGCCACTCGCCAGGCAAACAAGCGAAGTCGCAAAGCGACCAGAGCCGAGCCTTTAAGCGGCGCTCCACCTCGTTAGCTGAGAGCTTTGTGACGACAAAACGAAAGCCGTTCCAAACAGGATCAGGCCGGAGTCTGGAGCAGGAGAGGAGCGTTTGGGTCGGGGGCGACAGGGGCATCACAAAGAGACAACTGTGTGTTGATTTATGGGGATTCAGAGGGAGAGCGTGTGCAGGAATACAGCGGCCTCAATATGCAAATGTACACAAGGATGGGAATACAGATGGAGGCAAACAGTAACTGTGAAAGCTGCTGGCAGAGAGGAGAAATGTTTAAAAACTACAATTACAGACCAGATTTAGATAATCTGTGCAACATTTCTAGAAGACAAGAACCTCACTTTGAATTGGAGCTCAACAATATCACAAATAAAATAGAAATATGTGCAAAAGCATCCACACTGTACATATTCAAGTAACAACAGATAAATAGTTTTTGTTGCTTTTTTATAGATCCCTATAATAAAATCTTAACACCAATATTGTCTATTACTTATATTTTGCAATATTTGTCATTGTGTTCGATATTATCTGTTGAAGTAAAGTTAAAAAAAGAGAGAAAAAAAATCAAAACTTTATTTAAGTTTGAATACATTTTAAATATAAATACATTTTAAGTTTATTTTGCGTAAAAGAAGCAACAGTAGCATTTTATCTTACATTGAGTGCAGATAAAAAAGACACACACAGCTTTGGTTTGAGAAACTTAAAAGTAAAAAATATTAAGGTCTCTTTGTTTACCTAATACTCAGTCAGGCTGACAGCAACAGGTGAGGGAGGGGAAACCCTGCAAATTCACAATCTGATGTTGTTTATTTTGTAAAAAGGAAATAAACCCATTGATGTTTGTTAACAGACAAGTTTTCTAAAGCTTTTTAATCAGATGGGATAAGAGACAGGAAGACAATCATTTCTCTCTGATTAAAATTGAACCTACAAAATAAAAGCTCAGTGGGGGGTAGAGTTTGTTTTGGTTTCTGATTTGAGTCTTTAATCAATTTTCTCACCACACTATCCTTTATGTTGAACTTCCTGATGAATAAATGTACTTTTATCTGTTTCGTTTAACAGTTTCCATTATATGCCTCCTGGGGTCATGAGGTCATCTGATGGAAAGCGTCTAGCCTGGATGCTTCAGGGTGTTTTGGTCTCATTAGGAGGAACGGCCGCACTGATAGCCTTGTCTGCTGTAATTGACCCGTTGCTTCAAATTGTTGCCATCTGTCTTCATACGATGTAATGACCTTGTAACGTATCGGCGGTTTATTGGATTAGCCTCAACACGGTGTGACACCAGACTGCAGCCTGCGAAGGGGAAACACTGGGCTCATTCTCAGGGCTGGAAAATGAATATTCTTAGCTTTTCTCAGTACTTCCTGTCGCTTGGTGTATTCATAGGAGCTGTGTGTTTGTTTTCCAGAGTCGGGACGGGCGGTTCGAGGTCCGCGGCCGTCACGGTAAATCCGTGCTGACCATCAGCGGGGTGCGGCTCAGCGACCTCGGCCGCTTCGACTGCGAGGCTCAGAGCCGGATAGGAGGCCATCAGAAGAGCATGTTTCTGGACATTGAGTGTAAGTTCAATTCCAATTAACTGGAAACTTTAAGATTTTTAATGAGCTAGCTTCCTGTCTTAGCTAGCTGTGCTACAATGCTAACGCTAATGTTTACATAACAGTATTTTTTAGTATTTTGTAAAACTCTGTAGTAAAATGTATTATAAATAAGAAGTTTTGTTGTTGCCTTGAAGCTTTGATTAATTTTTTTGTATTTTTTACAAATTTGTTAAAATTATCAATATCTACTTTTTCTCTGAACTGCTGTTGCTATCGAAAGAAAGGCACCAATCCCAAACAAAAACAACCAATCAGAGCCAGGAGGCGGGGCACAGCGCTGTTAGTCACTCTTGTGTACGCGCTACTAAACATGCAAACAATGGAGAAACAGCATAGCGTAACAGGAAAATCAATTATGTCATGGGGTGCTATGCTAATTAACCTCAGCATTCATGGTGAACTATCAAAGAGAAAGCTGAGGACATGAGGATGATTGACAACACTAAGACCCGCCTCCAGCCTCTGATTGGTTGCTTTAATTAGAACTGGGAGAAGACAGAAGAGCTTGAATTATTGTCATCACATCCTGATAGTTTAACAAATATGTAAAATAAATATTTTTATCTATAAGTTTATACCGCAACTTAATATCTCTGCCACCACCAGGTGGAGCTGTGGCGCTGGCAGATCTCCTTTTCCATGATAAAACTATATTTTTATGAATTTCTCAGCCGTTTCATGTTTACAGAAAGACTTTTCTAGAAACTTCTTGCGGTTCTAGATTTAAAATTATTCATGCAGACAGATATTGGTGCATTTTGTCTTAAAAGAAATAAAAATTTGCTCCACCTCATTTTTAAATTTTGTCAAATTCACTGAGACTGATTTGTGTTTAAGTCTAGACTTTGTCTAGACCAAAACAAACCACTATTTAGTATGCTTTATTCTCTAACCTTCCCACACTCAATCGTCTGTATTTGATTTTTATTTAGATATAAGATTTTTTTCCAGACTTGAATTGTGTGAAATCTTTCATTATTTCCCAATAAAACAAACTGGCGTCAAATATTTACACTGTCAAGGTTATTGCAGAGGTGAAAAGTTGACAGTTTCCTGTGGAAACCAGCTGGTTGTCTTGTTAAAAAAGAGGAAATGATTACCAGCAGCTCCTCCCTGCAGTCGAGTGATAATTAATGAAAAGACCGGATTCCTCCTGCTGACGGCTTCCTCTCCTCGTCGTGTCGTGTTTGGGGTTATTTGGGGCAGCCTGCCTCTCCCCTGCTTAATGAGCTCTGCAGCAAAGATCTTCATCTCGGCTTTGGAGAGATTGGCTTCATTACGAGATGCTTTAACTATACCAGCACAGCAGATTGAGCCGTCAGATAAATTGACATTTTCGGAAAAGAAATCCCTTGAAAGTTGGTGAGGGGAGAAACACACACATGTTCATCCCCCGTCTGGATGGGGGAAGTTGCTGCTGTTCTACTGTAAACATGTTTCAGACGGAGAGTCTAACGAACTCATTTACTAAGTCACAGTGAGGCGATGGCACGTCCTCGGCTGTGACAGGGAGCCGCGCATCAATCTCTCTAATGGCGTCCTGCAAGGGAGCATAAAACAAGCATAATGTGTCTGAGTGAGCCGGGCAGCCGGGGCAGGAAACGTCCGAGTCGCAACAACAACGCCGCCGCCGCAGTCTTTCATTATCGGCCTCTGTTTGCATCCTTCATTCGCCCGCTTGAGGCCGACTCAGACGTTTCTCTCCAGTGGGATTAAATCCAAAGCATTTTCTTCTTCCTGTGCAGAATGCGCGGGTTAAGACGCCTTTGATCATCCATCCCAGCTCCACCTTTGATTTCAGTGTTTAATTAGCTGCCATGAACGCTCAACACACCAGCAGTTTACCGCTTTTCTCTTTCGCTTAAAGCGGCACAGTGTAACTTTATAAAAAATATGTTTTTTACGTATTTGGTAAAAGTGTCACCGTGTTGTCACAATTTACTGTGAGACAGATAAACACTGAAAAGATTGATCTCCTTCACCTCTTCTTTCACCTGTTATTGCCTTCTGAACAACCAATCAGAGCCAGGAGGCGGGGCTTAGCGCTGTCAATCATCCTTGTGCTCACTTACTGTTACAGGAAAACTGTTTGTCCTCCAATCATCACTGAACAAGCTAACTATGCTGAGCATTCACAACAGGTTAGGCTAGCTCTAGCATAGACTAGTGCCACACAGAGAATGATTGACAGCACTAAGACCCGCCTCCTGGCTGTGATTGGTTGCTACAAGGCAGGAGAGCAACATTTTTCACAGATTATCTCTCGTATCAAACTGAGCTTCAACAAAGAAGTGAAGAAATATTTTTTCTTAAAGTTACAAACAGCAGCTTTAACTTTTTTTTCTCAGATATTCCTAAATTCCTGACCAACCACCATCTATTACTCGTGGGAGGGGAACCCGGTGAACATCAGCTGCGACGTGATGTCCAACCCGCCCGCCACCATGCTGTGGAGGAGGGAACGCTTCACCATCTCAGAGGGAACGCCGCACATGCAGATCTACGGCACTGACGGGAGGTCGGTGCTGGAGGTACGGAGGCTGCGAGGGGTCAATCCTCATCTCCTGCATTTATTTCTACATTTGACTTCACAAAATATGTCACACGACATCGTTTGAAGCTGATTTTAAATCTGAACTTTGACTAGACCACTCCAAAATGTTATTTTTAGCCATTCAGAGGTGGAGTTGCTCTAAATGTTCTGCTTGCTTTTTTCAGGTGACTCCGATGTCGGACCGAGACTTTGGCCGGTATAACTGCACGGCCCGGAACAACATCGGAGTCCGGTACCAGGAGTTCATCCTGGCCCAGGCAGGTGAGAGAAAGAAAGAAAGACATTTTTTATAAATTTATACATCTATGTTTAATATTTTCTTTCCTGGTGTGAGTCTATTTCCTGTCACTTTGCTGCTGTTGCTGAAAATTCAATACATTTCTTTTCCTTCTTTCCTTTCCTCCCATATCAGATGTTATTTTTCTTTCTTCCCTCTGTTGTTTCTAAACCCAGTTTCTGGTGCTTCCTTGTTTTCTCGCAGACGTCCCCTCCAACCCGTACTCCGTCCGTCTGTCGGCCGTTTCCCAGCGGCTGGCCACCGTCACCTTCATGAAGCCGGACTCTCACGGCGGCGTTCCCATCAGCTTCTACCTGGTCCAGTACAAAGAGCTGGGCTCCATAGACTGGAGGGTGTGAAGTCGCACAGCGTGCAGAGTGAGTTTCTTCCTGTACCATAAGAGGCCAAAGGTGCGGCTCAGGGGCCATTTGTAGGCCTCGTGATAATTAAATACGGCCTTAATGAAGAACGAGAAAACATGTACATTTTTTGTTTTTCTTTGGATGTTTTAAATTAAAAAGGAATATCTTCTTAAATAGAAATGCTAGCTTACTGCTTTTGGAGACTCATTATATGCTGTTACTGTGGGCCCACAGCATGACAGACCCTCCTTCGTACCTCAAAGTGGTTACCGGCTGGAATTTGTTACAGCGTTAGTCTAAAAAAAAAAAACAGAAAAGGTTTTTTTCTCAATCATTTCAGCCATTTTTGAAATATATGTTGCATTGTTTTTCCATTTTGAAGAGAAATATCCGACTGTCTATAGTCATGTTTACATCCCTGAAGGAAACTGATCCGTTTGCTCTCACAGAGTCAAAACACCTGATTGACTTCATCCTCACCTGTCAGAGAGAGAAACTGTAAACCGACATTCAAGATGAACCTGTAATGTCCTTGTTGACGCCTCAACATCGGCCCAGTTCAGACATAATTACACGATCGGTCACAGGATCCTTCAAAGCTTTGGCCCTGGGATGTTGTCGGCCCCTGACGACGCTCCAAACACCTGGCGGCGCTCCGCTTTCAGGACCGGTCCGGCCTGAACGCGCTCCCTTTCTCTTCCTGTGCTTTACGACTCCAAATTGATTTGTGAACCTTGTCGGGAAGTGCAGCGCGCTGACGGACGGGTGGATGGAAAATGAAAGCCAGGGGATGAATGGCCGGCTGATAAGCAGCTCCAACAAACCTGAAGGGCTTATCGCTAATATCCCTCATTTCAGAGTCAATTACAGTTTCAGATTTACTGAGGAAAAAACCAACCAGGATGTTGAAATGAAGGGAAAAATTCACAATTACAAATGAATCTAATTTGGATTATTTCAACAGAATTTGATCTAAAACGCAGAAAAGTGAGCAAAGCTAATTACATAATGCTAAGTGTCTCCATATTTAATCACTGACTTCAGCGCTGAAGTTCCCCTCAGTAAAACTGCAGCATAATGAGGCCTGGACTCGTTTCAGCGCCGGCGATGGAACCAGAACGCTGATGCAAAATCTAAACGTTTGTTTTCCTCTCCAGGACTGAAAAAGCACCTAAATAGCAGCAGAGGATTTAATTTGTTCACACTCACAAAAACAACAACTTTCACGCTCCTTCTGCTGGCTGATAGAATGAAATCTGTAAGATTTAAATAGGAATTTAATCCAGATTAAATTGGATTAAACCAGGCTGGAGGTGTTCAACCTTTGTAACGTTAAGGACAAAAAGGGCACAAGAGGTGCAAATTCACAAAATCATACAAAGTATTTCTTTCAAGTTTTTAGGACAAATATCTCATTACACTTGAAATCAGACAAAATTTATTTACAAGTAGCTTTACAATAAGATGAAGGAGTTTGTTTTAAGTAAATGATTTTATAACCAGTAGCAGTTTACACAAAAAACTACCGATTTCTAATAAAAAATCCAAACCTCTTTATATTTCTGCGTTTCCTTAGAAGCCTCCTGTTTTTTTGGGGGGTTTTTCTGCAAACGGATAAAGTGAGCTGTGGTTTTGTCTCTCTGCAGCCACCGTAGTTCTGACCGGCCTGGAGCCCAACACGACGTACGAGGTGCGAGTCGCAGCCGTGAACGGGAAAGGTCAGGGAGAGTTCAGCCACGGAGACCTTCCAGACTTTACCTATCCGTAAGTCGGTAACCTCTGACCTCCAAACTGAGAGCATGTTGACTTTAACCAATCATAGCGACGCCTGCCTCTCACTTTAACGGCTTTCTAACAGGGAGTTAATTTTGAGTCGTCGACACCCTCAGCAGATCAGGCTTTCAGCTAAAACAGCCAAATTCAGCAGGAATATGGAAACGTTTTGGTTCTGATTTAATACAAATACTGGATGTGTGACAGAAATGCATTACATGCCTCCAGAATCTATTCAGAGCATCAGCAACTCTGCAGAATGAGGCCTATTTGCCACATTACACAACCAGGGTGTATTTATATTGGAGAGGGCCTCAACCTCCGACTTCCACAGATATGAATTTAGATTATCAGAACCTGGAATGGATTCTGTCAGATTCTCCTCGTCTGCAGGGAATTTCACCGTAAGCGTTTTATTTATCCACCAACCGTCTGGGAGAACAGCGCCGCCGCTGCTGAGGCGCAATAGAAGAGCAAAATGATGAAGATGTGGCGCTGTCTTCCTCAGGAGAACCGAGTCCGCCGGCGGTCCACGGCCAGAGGGGCGTGGGGAAGGCCTACAGGCTGGGGCTGGTCAAGCAGGACGACGGCGGGATGCCCATCGTGGAATATATCGTCAAATACAAAACAGTGAGACAAAAACCTTTTACAAATTTATTCCAAAATCCTGCTGGGTTTTTTGAGAAGGGGGAAATAATCTACTGCAACTTTTGTCATTTGTTGTTATGTTGTTATTGGTATTGGTATGTATTTTATGGAGTGTTTTTAATTAATCTTTGAATATTAATTATGGTTCAGATTTTTTCATTTTCTATTATTTCAAATTGAAATTCAAAAATACTTAAGGTCATAAAAACAGTCATCATTTCTGAAACAAACAATAAACATTACAATTTATTAGTTGGGAGAGGAAATTAAAATGTTTTTTACTAGAATCCAGTGAGTGAAAGAAACAAAGTTTGCTCCGTTTCTGTCAGGATAAATAACTTTGTGTTGCTCTTTTACCCCGGGTTTACGTTTTGAATTATTATTCATGAGCGGCTCTGATTACGGAGCAGCTCCGTTTAGCAGACAGAATAAATGTTTCACATTTATCACTCCTGTTTTTGACGTGGAGCACAAAGAGAGCGAAACACAACAGGCGCGGTTTGGAAATCAAGCGTTCATTAAATTTACATGAGGCCATTCAGTTTGCACAAGGCGTGCTCTTACATTTTCTAAAAAGTAACTGGCGCTGATGGAGTTTTTTTATATTTGACATAATAATCCCTTGCACATTATGCGAAGCTGGATTGATTTGCTGCTGGGTTGAGTTGGTTCCTTAAATGAATAATGTTCTGCTGGCAGATCTCTGCTTTTCACATCTTGTTTCGCTTACAAACCGTCTCTCTGGATTTGCTCGACTATTTTAATGGTGGTTCAGGTTAAATGTAGGACGTGAGGATTAAAGAGGCCACAAAATAAAGCTGTGGTGTTTTTCATAGAATGGAGGAACACCAAAATAATCCATTAATGTGGAATATAAAGAAAAAGAAAGATGAGTTTCAACAATTTTTACAAATAAAAATCTAAAATAAAAACTCCTGAGACCTAAATATTATTTATTCCTCTTTTTTTTTCTTTTTTTTGATTCCACGCGTTCTCTCAGCCTCTAGAATAGAGTCCCTGTGACCTGACCAAGATGGCCGCCATCTCAAAGCAGCGTTTTATTAAAAAGAGGAAAGCAAACCTAATGAAGTCAAGTAATTAAAGACAACTCATAAAACAGAGTGTCTTCAGTCAGAGGCATCTTTAGAGGTGCTGTAACACAAACTGGTACAGGAGATCCTTTAATTTATTTTTGGGAATTATAAAAAAATGTCAGTTTGAATAATCACATGTGATTTTAAATGTATTATTTAATAAGTTCATATTTTAGCAACATATTTCAGTATTTTCTGTGCTAAGATTATTTGTTTTTATTGTCTAAACTGTATTTATTTATGAATTTACTCTTTGTGTTTGTGTCACTTTTTAAACAGGCAGCTCAAGGGCAGAAGCTTGAAATGATTCTTAGAAAAATAAGAAAAAATACAAAAGTCTGTGAAGTATTCAGGTTCATAATTTGTGTAAAAGAAAGGGATTTAAATATAGATAAAAAGAAATGAAGTACAGTAAATATTCTCCTAACCCTGCGACAGAAAATAAATATTCCAGGATATTTAATTGTAAAAAATATTTAAACTGTTTTTTTTCCTTCCACTTCACAATCAGCGCTGCTGGCTTCCTGCAATAAGCTTGATTTGGTGGGATGGGTTGCCAGGTTGGAACACAAGCGCATTTGGCCAGAGGAGTGAAGGGAGACTGGATTAAAACCCGACCTCTTGTTTATCAAGCTAACAGGCTTTGACCCTGGTTTTTAATTTATTTTTCGATCCCTTTCCTGCAGGATAAAGAGGAACAGTGGATGACCAAGCTGGTTCCAGGAGCTAACGACTTTGCGATGCTGCAGCCGCTGCAGTGGAACACGAGATATGAAGTGGAAATCACAGCCCGCAACGTCAAGGGCCTATCAGAGCCCACCTTCTATCAGTTCTTCCATGCCACAGAAGCCCGCCACAGTAAACAGCAGAAAAAACAATAAACATGGGGCCCCACTTCACCTTTCTCTTTCTGAAAACACTGAAAGAGCTTCTGTGAAATGTTGCTTTTCTTGTGCTGGTAAAGAAAAGAAACAAAACGAACAAAAGAAAAAGAAACATATCTGAGGACTGAAAGCAAGTCTGACAACGCAGCAGAAATGTGACCAGAAAAACCAAATATTTCAGAGTACTTTTCAATAATTTCAAGTGCAAATATCTCAGTCCACCAGTACACAGTTACAAGTAACTTTTCAGCAAGAGATCAGATACTAGTTAACTTAACAGGTTATCAAAATACGTGTTTGATCTTCATCTTTCTACTTTTAAAATATTCTCCAAAATCCACTTCACAGAATAGCTTCACAGATCATAATATAGCAGCAAAGTCGTCTCATTAACGACCATTTTAATGACCTAATATGATGAATTTTTCCATATTAGTGAAATTTCTATATTTGTTTCTGAACTGGAGGTGAAACCTCATTTTGAAAAGTCCAGTTTTCTTCTTTTTGTGCTTAAAATCATCATTTTTAGCTTTAAGCTTCCTAAAAAGAGACGACCAGAGAGTTATAAGCAGCAGTTTTTTCTTCTTCTTACTTTCCCCTTGATAAATTACTCATTTTGTCTTTATCTGCCATTAAAATCCAGCCAAAGTTGTGTTTCAGTTCTGTTTCTGCCTTTTTCCTGGTCTATTTGTGCCGGTTTGGATGCAGCCAGTGTTTGCCTCTGTTGTTACTGCGGCGGCTAAACGGCCCGCCGGCGTGTGGCTCGCTTTTCCGCCAGGAAACAAGAGCTGGGCAGGCGGGTCACTTCGATTGGCTGTCCTCTCTTGTTAGCGAACAGCAGGGAATCGAAGCAGAGAGCCTGGAAAAACAAACATTTCCAACATGGTGTAGTCCAACTGGGGTTTAACATTAAGACATCATTCTTCATATTTCCAGCCAAAATCAGTTTATGTTTTATGGAAAAGCGCTGCGGACTCGTCGTTTCCTGCTCCTTCAAATCAGGTTAGACGCTGAAGAACTCTTCAGAATCAATCAGCGATAGATGTGAAACATCCGCCACTTCCATTTGAGGTCCAATCTGCTGCCTTGTTTTTATCATCCGCCATGCTGCATAAAGACCCGACTGCAGACCTAATGAAACAAACTGAGTCCACATATATGTGCCCTCTCTATTCAATTCTCCTCCTATGTATTATGCATTTATTGTGTATTGAATTGCTTCTTTTCTCACTTCTTCCTCTGTACTATTTCAGTTATAACTGGTCGTGTACTTTTCTTTCGTTTTCTGCTTGTGGAGAAAAATGTGCTGATTGCGAAGCAGCTCTTGATTCCCTTTTCAATTTACTCCTTTTTATTTCAGGTTTCTTTTCCCACCTGATGCAACCGAGTCAATTTGGAGTCAGTAGAAAAGATTTAAAAACAACAGATTTTAAAGCAGAAGTATCCAAGCTTATTACTGAAAAGTTGAGTGGAAGGAAGAAGTGTGGATGAAAATGTTTTATTTAATTGACAGAACAAAGGTTCAGAGAGAAGAGAGCAAAATTGTCCGCCATCTTTTATTAGGAAAACACAAATTTTCTCTTTTTCACGTCATTTCATGCAAAATTGACTCAACTTGGAAAATATATTAAATTTTTGATTTTATTCTAGGTACATCTTTATGCCATTTTGGATGTTTTGCATTTTTCAAGAAAATATAGCAATGCTAACACATAGAGGATCATAATCCCAGAAAACATTCATATCTTGGTGCCTGTCACTATATGATTTTCTAATCTCGAAGCAAATCAAAAGTCTTTTTTGAGCAGCCATCTCTAACTTTAGCTGCATTTAGTGTGAATCAAAGACAGAAGTGATAGAAACATGCAGTGTTAAGTATGGTGTTGGATCTGTGATGCTGTGGGCCTGAAACTGGGTCAAGAGACACTGATTATTGTTTTTTTTTTTCTTATAAATAAATACACAGAAGCATTCATTTCAATCCATTTAGCTTTAAAACTGATCTCAAATGGGAAAAACGGAGAAACCAGAACAAACTGGTCACTTTCACCTCTTCCCTCCAGCTTTAAAAAAAAAATCTAAATCTGAAATAAAACCACTTACATCCAGCTGGAGCCAGCAGAAAATGAAGTAGTTTGATGTTTTCTTGATTCCCCTGCAGCCGGACCGGTCTGCCGCTGCCCAGCTTTCTTGTGGCTGTTGCATTTATTTCCTGGCTTTATTTTTATTCATTTATTTATTTTTTGCTTCATGCGTCATAAAGAGGCTTTGATTGAAACAGCTGTGATGGATTTTCTTTGTAATAATCTCATCAAAGCACTTGGGGGGGGGAGAATGATCTTGACAGGCTTTTCTCCTCTTTTCCAAGCTTGAGCAAAACTTTTTATTTATTTTTTTATTGTTGGTATTTCAGGAAGTAATCCCAGTGAATCAAAACTACAGTCAGAGCTTCCTATTTTAATATTTTAAACTCATATTTTTATTTAGTCGGAGAGGCTTTAACTCCCAGTATGATGTCAATCTATTTCACTTTGTGTATTTATTATAGCAGAAAAAATGCTCAAACATTTGCCCAACTATTATCAGTTATCCAGTTTTTATTATTATTATTATTGTATAAAAATGCATCATGGGAAATTTCACTCCTGTCCTTGCGGGAAGCAGGTTTTACTTCTGTTTAATCTGATGAAACACTCTTTTAATAGATGGTAATTTGTGAGAATAACTTGCTAGATATTGAAAGTTCGAGTTGTTATGAAGAAATGTTTTTGTTTTTTTTGCTCACTGGACATTTGAAGAACTTCATACAGTTGAAATAAGCAAAAATATCCATATGTGCTGTTTGCTAATGTGAATAATTTTAAACCGCAGCATCATTCATTTGAAAGAATACCAACATGAACTTATATGTCCCAGAGAGAATCTGTTTCAGTTCTGAAGAAAAAGCATTTCTTTTCCGATTAACAACCAACGCCAAGATAAAAAGCTCCATCTGCGGCTTAACGTGCCTCTAAGCCAGTTCCCCGATTATCAGGCATGTAAATCAAACCGTCTTGAGGGATTCATGCAAACGCAACGACGGGGATTTAACTGTAAACAGAACTGTAATCAAAGACTTCTGTTTGTTTGCTTTGTGTAAAATATGCCGCAGTCAACATAATAATGCCTGTAATGTACTCACTGGTGTACCAGTATGATATAAGATCCCAGCTGATGTGACTTATTTATTCATAGAGCAGATAATCCCACAGCGATCAGAGGATTGGGTTTCTGAGCGCAGCGACAAAGAGACGATATCAATGTCATCCTGAAAAGCAGAGAAATGAGCCAAACACCAAGTTTGATATGCAATAGTACCGACTATCACCACAACAAGCAGCTCCAATACGCACAAGGAGAGTCAGTTTACAGCCATTAAGGAGTTTTGAACTGTCTGGAGATTAGGATGCATAACGTCACAAGGTGGAAATGCTCCCTGATTACATTTAGGCTGAGATCGCTGCTGGTTCCCAGCAAATATGGAATAAATCCTCTGCAGCTTCATGTTCTGATGAACAGGCAACTCAACATGCGCCGTTTCCTGCTCAGCTTCCTCAATTTAAGTGGCGGGACAGCTGGTCTGTCGGGACGCCTCAATCAGAGGAAAACCCACCTCACCAGATGCCAGTGGCTTCGTGTTTATGGACGTCTCACCTTCCTGTGGTGCAGACTGACCTTCAAAAAGTCAACTTCCTGAATCTACACAGAGATCAAAATCAAGTTTACTTTGGAAGCAACAAGCAAAGTAGCAAAAATGTAATGAATGACGAAAAAAACCAACATAAAAATAGAAGCTGTAAGCAAAAAACAGCAGCCTGGAAAAGGAGTCCATTACAATAATTGAGCTGAGATGTGATAAAGCAAGGATTACTGTCTCTAGACTGCTGTGAGATAAACACATTTAATCTTTGCTAAACGCCTCAACTGGTAAAACAAGACTTCACACTGAGTTCACTTAGCTGCTCATTTTCAGGAGAGGCTCTATTTTTACTCCTGGATCATTGGTGTTTTTTACATGGTGCCAAAGATTAACCCTTAATATTTAGAGTTCTGTTAAATGATGCATTCAGATTACAGGAAAATGTGATTTTTAATTTAGTTTTTGCTCATATTTCACTTTTTCCTGGATAGCTAAATGTCCAATTTCTTCATTTCCGTATGTGATAGTAAATCGTGTTTCCTCAATCGGACCCGTCATGTCGCATTTTATCCAACTTTTACGTCATAAATCTGCACCAGAAGAAGCTCGACTCTGTAAATCTGGATGTAAACAATGGCTGAAGCTGTTCAGATGTTGATGCTCTTGTGTTAAACAAGAGTTAGCATTGATCAGCCTGCACAGACCACACAACTCAGAAACAGTAGGGTTGTCCCTCCAAACTGGACGAACACACCCAGAATTTAAAGCTTTTGGGGGTTTCGTGCCCCTGGTAAGGCGCAGATTTTCTCCTAGTTCCCTTACATCCTGGAGGATTGGACTAGGCCATTTCAAATGTGTCTCCATTCCCTTTTGGGTGCATTAGCTCTTTTTCCAAAAAGCCACTTTTGTTGAGGAGTTGAATTTTGTCATTTCCTTCAAGCTTTTCTCATGCAATATTTAAAAATTGTGCATCAACCAATCAAAACACAGCAGATCTGTGGAAATCTTCCTGAAGTTTAAAAGCACCAATTCTTACAATCGAGGTGAACTAACTTTGATGTGGCCCCTTCAAATCAACTGAATACTGTGTACACATCGTGACACAGTGTGTTCGCAGTACGTCCGTCTCTTCATCAGCGTCTCGTCAGCAGAGAGCAGAAAAGAATCAAACCCGACTGTGGGAGGAAGATACCAAAAGAAAAGGGCTGGCGGTTAATTTAGCCATGATTATCTCTTTTTTTTCCATCCAATGGATTCATTACCTGATGGATTTTACAACTCTATGCTTGAGTTTCCAAAGATTTTATGAGGTTTTAAATTAGCCATAGCTATGATTGTTAATTTAATATTTGAGTATTAAAAGTTAAAATACGCAAGGAGGGAATAATGAAAAGAAACCAAGCGAAGACCTTTCATTTTTCACCATAACATACACTCACTGGCCACTTTATTGGACAACCCTCTGTGGTACCGGGTGGGAAACCCATTCAAACTGCTTTCATTCTTCAGCAAAGAGTTTCTTGGAGATTTTGACATTATTGAGAAAATGGCGTCAAAACGTTGCCTGACGATTAAATGTACAGGATCAACTCATGTTCAAGAAACCTGCCCAGCAACCCGACCCACTAACATTTCTCTTATATTTCTGTTTTTCTGGCTGTTTTAAGATCAGATTTTAGCTACGAAGATCAAGGTCTTGATTCTTCTCGGACAGATAGCAGCGATTACTAAAAGTGGACCAAATCTTTTCCTTTGAGGTAGATTGTTAAAAATGCCGTATGCTTGTGCGTTCGCAGCAATTTCCCATGCTTTTTCGTTATTTCTTCGCCGGCTCTTGAGTGCACTCGAGTTTCGTCCGGGATCGAATGCTTCCTCCGAGGAAATTGACAAAAGAGACGACTCATCCCTCTCCTTCGAGCCGAGCTGAGTTTAATTATTAAGTTTCGCTTTCTGAGGCCCTCCTCAAAGAAAGTTTCCCCTCAGGCCTCCTCGTCACATATCAGACGAGCCATGCAAATGAATCCTCACACCCATCCCTTAACGATCATGTTTATCCCCACTAATGTCACAATCAATGAGCTCTGCTCTGGTCATTATTAATTGAGTCAGTTCCTCGCAGGTCCAATCTATAGACAGTCAATCACAGGTCAGGCCTAACGAGATGTTATTGTCAGAGATGTATATGAATGTCTTCAGGTGCCACCCATACTCTTGGATGTCTGCTTGTTGAATAATGCTGCTAATAGGCCTATAGATCAACAGGTAATCAGAGGAAGCCAGGAAAGGGGTTAATAGAGCAGAGAAATAGGAATTAATGGCTGCTGCGCTCCCACTCTGGGGAAGTTTGAGAAAACGCCAAACGATTTCCTGCCCAAAGACTTTGCCTTGACGTGATAACACAAAACAGTCATCCATCCAATTGATCTTTGTTGCTTTAATGTCTAAATTTGCAAAGTAAATCACTGTGAAAAGTAGAACATCCCATTAAGTATACAGCTCTAAAAAATAAAAGACCTGATTTTACTTCTTGTAGTTATATGTTAAATGAGCATTGTTCTTTTATTCTATGAACTGCTGGGAACATGTCTCTGAAATTCCAAGCAAAATTTTAGTATTTATTTGCAGAAAAATAACGGCAACGATGCAATGCTGTCAGACTTCAAATAATGCAAAAAAAGAGAAAAACAAGTTCATATTCATTTGGAAACAAAAACAAGAGTTTAGAAATCAGTATCTGATGGAATAATCAGGAGGTTCAGAGCAGCGGGAGAAAAGTTAAATACACTAAAATTAACAAGTTTCAGGTGTGAATGTTTGAGTTTTATTTCAATAGTTACCCGTGAAACTTTACTTCAAATTATAAGCAAAAATGATATTTCTATAATATTACAAAGAAGAGGAATGTTTTTCTGGAGCAGTTTATGTAACTACCAAACATTAAAGTCAATTAATTTTCTCTTTTTTTCATTCTGATGCAATTTTTAAGTCTATTAGTGTTTACCAAAATGTACACAACGCATAACCGAACCACAGCAACAGGAAGTCAACATATGTAACAATGACAACTGGGAACAAAGAACAAAAATGTTTAAAATATGATGATAAAATAAAGTGAAAAAGGTTAAACTGTCATGATGGAAAAGAGGTTTTTCAGCAATATTAGCAGAATAGAAAGAAATTACAGAGAAGACAGCAATAATGATGGTTATTATTGCTCTGTCATGATTTCAAGTAAAGTACAGATGACAGAAGACAAGCTAAATTACATTGTGAACTGAAATTGAAAATTGACAGCCAAATAAATTTGACAGCAGCGGAAAATGTTCCATTCATGTCTTTGAAATCAACAAATAGTCGTCAGGCGGCATTAGTTTACCAGATTGAGTTTCTTTCATTGCCGCTTTGAGTCTGAAATGTAGATGTGATTAAAAACGTCATGCAGGGAAGCATTCAGGCCGTTTCTAGCCGACTGACCTCCGGCCAGAGAGCATGAAATAAGAAACGGTGCTGCAGCGCGGTCGCCACAGACGCAACAGAGTGGAGACAACCACTTCCCCTGTTGGGAGATTTAAATAGAAACATGTTCGACATAACTGAGCGGCACTGCTGAGGAAAATAAGTTATGAGGCAAGAGCTATAATGTTTTCTGTTTTTTATATATCGACACATTATTTTTACAGTTTTGGCCCTCATATTGTAGAGATTTATGACACACAGATTGATTTAATTTAGGTGTTTATTTTAAAGGATCCATAATTAGTAGTGGCAACATAAGTGAGAAATATTTATTTTAGATGTAAAAACAATAAAGTAATAGGTTGTTTAGTTTTTGTTTACTCTATAACAGAGTTTCTAGCGCTGTTCTCTGATGTTCTTCCCGGCGTTTTGTGCTGCAGCAGCAACACGGTTTAGGCGCTTTGTGGATAAAAACTTTCACCACGGCATTTATTTTTAGCTTGCTAAGGTAACAATCACCTGTTAGAGCCTTGGTTATTTTTGCTCGTACAAATGACTCAAAGTCTTCTGGAGAGAAATGTTGAGAGCGCAAATGTAGGTCCTTCCGACTCGCATCTTTTTTTTTCTTGTTGTTTTTTAAATTACAGCCAATAGTGACACAGAATGGCATAATCTAAAATCACACCAGTCAAACACAATATGATAAACAACTGGTCAGGTAAAGTGAGCCTTCCTGTGTTTCTGTAGATTCCAGTACAGAAAGGACCGTTATGCATCACTATCTCATCGGTGAAAATGTAACAAAAGATATACATTTTCTGAAGTAATTATGAGTTTTGTCGTTTCGCAGAAAACTATTTTTTAGTTCATTGAAAAATTGCAACATAGTTAGTTTCTAAAATTTGGCTAAATGACAAAACTTAACAAGAACATTTTCAGAGATTTTTTTAGGTTTATTTTTTAGGTTAAATCTGCAGCAGACTGACGATGACTGAGTGAAGCGTTTGCTCAGTGTTTCTTTTGGAAAATCTGCAGCTTCCGCAGCCAAATTAGCTCAAATCAACCTTCAAAAGGGTAAAACAGAAAACAGCCGCCTGTGGCAATGAAAAAAGAAATTGATCTGGACTTGAAGTTGCAAATCCCACGTTGCTGTGCTTTGCGGAAAAGCAAAGAGTTTTAATTAGAGCTCCCTTTGCCACCAGGTTCAGTGTCTTTGTGCCTGGGATCGCTGCCAGGCTCTGCTGTCTGACGCTTCGGCTGCGAGTCGAGAACAAAGCCACAGACATGAGAGTCATCTGGGTTCAGGTTCCCACTGTGGGTGCAGAAGCAATCAGGTTCTGAACCGAGGAACAAGACATGCACCGGGTCAACTACTAGCTGTTTTTAATTGCTCACAATTGTGTTCATTTCATAACCATTTTGAATATTATTCAACATTCGTATTTCACATTTATTTTTGCTCCCATTTGGCTTAAAAAAAAACAATAGTGGGCAATAAGTCAAAGCTTTTTGGTGTCTGGAAAATGGGCTGTTTTAAAAATGTCACAAATCAGCAGGCACTGCCCGTTACCTAGCAACCCCAGTGGAGCTCCGCCCGTTACCTAGCAACCCCAGTGGAGCTCCGCCCATTCCCTAGCAACACAATCGTTTTCTCAGTTGTGTTTTGCTGTTGACTTTCAGCCAGAAAACACTTCCTACGTTTTTGCTGGTTGTGCATGAGGCTCCACTTCTGCTTTTCAGAGACGTATAGTTGTATAATTACTCATCAGTTTGCAGACATTTTCATGTGCAAATGTAAACATTGAATTGGGGGCGTGGCCAGCAGCAGCTTATTTGGATTTAAAGTGACAGCTCATTTGACGGAAGCTCAAAATAGACAGAAATCTCCTGATCTAATAATGATCTTGTTTTAAAACAGATATAATGATCATGTTTTGTTCGCTGTAGATCTGTCCTGACTTTATAGGTCACCTCGAACAATGTTTTCTCAATTATGGGTCATTATTTGTTGCTTTTCTTTTTTTCTGCATATTTTATAGATTGATTTGAAATGTTCTTCTCATATTCCACTGATTTTTGAACGATTCATTTTGTTGTTTGTGATTATTTTAGGTCTCTTATTGATCCAACATCTTATTGCAGAATTTTATACCTTTTTTTTTTTTTTTTTCTCTTTTTCTTAGTTCCTGTTGTTTCCTTCCAGCTCCAAATGTCAACAGTACCCTGGTATCCTGACATTGTCCCGTAGGAACGCTCCTGTTTCACTTAAAGCCTCTCTGCCTGTGTTTGAGTTCAGATGCAATGTTCAGGGTTAATTAATTTGAACTTCCTCTGCTGGTTGCATATTAAAACCTGTCTGGAAGAGCTTTCTCCTGGGTTACTGTGGCCTCTGCTGCACATATTTTTGACCTCTGTAATTCTTGTTTTGTGCGTTAATAACGGCTATAAAGCTGTTTTGTGGACCTTGAAATTGTTTACAGTGAGCCCTCTGGGTTTTGCTTTCAGTTGGACGGCGTCCAAATTATATATGGCCTCCTCCTGTCTTGTTGAGGGGTGAAACCCCACATTCATCCTCTCTTTGAATATGTTCTCAATTTTGCTCTCACCAACAACTTTATCACGATTTCAGGCAACTAGTGGAACGTTCTGGACCTTGACCCTTTGCTCATTGGATTATTTTGCTAATTCTCCTTGTTTGACTAACAAACATTTTAGCTGGAGAAAATGTTTCTCCAGCCAATCAATTTTAGTTGTATTTGTATAAAATTAAATGTACAGTGGACCCTCAGTGTTATAACTGTAACCAAATATTCATTAACATGCATTAATAAACGCAGTGGAAGTTGTTTTAGCGTTAGCAGAGATGCTAATAACAACCAAGCTGCATTTTATTTATAAAGCTTTAGGAAAAAAATCTCTGAAAACACAAATTTTCCCAAAATAAATGATAATTTTGAAAAACTCATGTTTTTCTGTAAAACAGGTAGTGTTTTTGTTTTTCAGCTGTATCAAAATAGATATATTTCGCATAATTTACATCATGAGTTACTACTGGCAGAAACAACAAAGAAGACGACAACAGGAAGTTGTAGGAAGATAATGTTACATATAATTTCTGTCAGTCTAACATGTTGGAATCCATCTTTTTTCTGTAAATTGGCCAACTAATTTCCCCCAAATGCCGCTGCGTACGTAGCCGTCTGAATAAGACGCCAAAGCCTCCTCTGATTGGCTGAATCATGATTATGAACTCATATAGCTGTTTACATTCACCGCTGTAATTACTTATTTGATGGAAACAAAACATATGGATATATTTGTAATGAAAACGCAGCTACTGAGTCGAATACTTTCCATAAAAAGAGAAAAGAGGAAGCATAAAGTTAACGACAGCAAGAATAGCAAACAGAGAGAGTATTAGTAGAAAATGGAGAGTAAAGCAGGCCACTGTCCTCCAGCAGCCAACAGAGAGAAGCTAAGCCTCTGACTGGAAGCTTTATCTGAACAGGTAGGTTGAGTCTATCTGCAATCACTGATTACTCCCAGCCTCGCTGACCTCCAGCCGTCCTCACTGCTTCTTTTCACTTTGCTCAACCCCAGGATCACTTAAGGCCCCGGCTCTATTCATTCCTGCCCCACGGGAGCCGCGCTGCACTGTCCACCCTGATGTATTTGTTTTATTAATTCAATCCATCGCTGGCTTCCTCTGAGCCCGCCGTGTTTTTTCCCTGCGTGAAAAGTGGAGTTTCTGCCCCACATGAACCCGTTATTGGCTGCAAGCTGTGAAACGAGAGGCAACCGAATGATTCAGGCTGAAACATCAGCATGTTAATGATGCTCTGTGGAGCAGTGGGGTTGGGAAATATGCACTACATCTCCCCTGCAGAGATGCAGGCGGCCGCCACGTAAAGCTGAGTGAAGATGTGAGGCTGCAGGGCGCACAGCCCCGCAAACCTGTCGCTTGAAAAACCCAAAGGTTTTAAAACAAATCAAAACACCAAAATCACCAAAAACATTTCTGGATCGCCGCAGATCCTTTCCTTATGTATTCAAGTCTTTGAAACTTTAATCCTAAATAGCGGAAACTTTGTAAGGCAGAATTGATTTGTTTTGGAGGAGATTTTGTGGGATTCACGCTAATATTCAAGATTATTCCAGGCTCCAGTGAGAATCGCGGATTAGTTTGGAAACTCTCCAGCTCAGTTCGAAGGAATTCATTGACCTTCGAGTCATTCTGAGAAAGTTTCTACTTTCTTTTTTCCCTTTCTTACATTGCAGTTAACTCCATTTGTGTTAAATATATGGATGTATAGCGAGAGCTGCGACCTTCAGCCTCTGCTCTGCAGGAAGCCGACCAGCAGGATCGTCCTTCAGACTCCCTGCTGACTCCAACACATAACTTTAACCTCTCGGTTTTCCTTCTCCTAAGAAAAACACAGACGCTTGTAGCTTCATTTACTCTCAATATATCTGTAATAAAACCTCAAAATCCTTTTTAAACAAGAATAAAAATACTTTTATGTATTTTTAGCTGACTTCAACTACCAACATTTTTGTGCTTCGATCAGACAAACCATCACAGCATTTACAATTAAAATATCAAACTACTTTTATTTGTCTATTATTCTTCCTATTAAACACAATTGTTTGCTAAGCTAACTCTACATATTATTCACATGCAGTACTTCACAGACCACAGCTTGACAAAAGGTGTCCAAACTGTGGCACAGGGACTATTTGTGGCCCCTGGACTGATTCTGCGCGGCCCCCAGCTGCAACTGAAGCTGATTTAAATTTGGAAGGAAACACTGAAATTTTGAGATTAATGTGAGAAATTTTTCACAAAAAATATGGAAATGTTTGAGCTGCAAAAGTTTTAAATTTACGAGAAAAAAACTTATACATTTTGAGATTAATGTGAGAAATTTTCCAGAAAAAAGATGGAAATTTCTGAGTTTGAAAGGTTGAGAATTTGCTTGAAAAAAAATCTGACAACTTTTATATTAATGAGATTAGAATACGATTAGAATTTAGAACTTTTTGACTAAATTCTAAATTTCAAATGTCAAATTTTGGCAGAAATGATCTGACCCACAAAACATGTTGTAAAAATCTCCTTCAGGCTGTGGATCCACTTCGCCTGCTTGGTTCTATTGGATGGTGATGAAAACGGATGTTGCGTTTGTATCAGACTGAGTCAGCTAACAGGTGTGCGTGGCTGTGTGTTCCCTGCCTTAGCAGAATCCCTGTTCAGCGGCCTGGGGCTCGGCGCGGTGGTGGGCCTCGGCCTCGGAGCGCTGCTGCTGCTCCTGGTGCTGGTGGACGTCAGCTGCTTCTTCCTGCGCCACTGCGGCCTGCTCATGTGCATCACTCGCACGCTCTGCAGCAAGAAGACGGCGACCAGCGGCAAGGGCAAAGAGATGGAGGAGGGCAAGGCGGCCTACCTGTGAGTATCCCCCTCCTCCCTCAAATCTTGGATCAACTGTTTGGGTTTTTGATGTTTGCAAGTCGCCAGGTCCTTCATGCTTGGAACATCTGCTGTGGGTGTATCAACAACCTTAGAGACCTGAAGGGACGAATGAAAATCTGTAGAAACTGTTTCCTACTTTGGGCTGAAGAGAGAGAAAATCATCAACCCTCAGTTTAGTCAAATGTCACAAATTGCCTTTCATGTCACTCCTTTATTTGCTACGAATGAGCAAAGGAGACTTCTTTTTACCGTTTACTGTAGGTACACCTACAACAGCCGCCCAACCACCCTTTCAACCACAGTATGTCTCTGATTATGTCTTTCTGGCTAACGTCTGTGCTTCCATCCACTGTGCTGTGAGTCCTCTCCTCATCTGCATGCCCGTAGCGCTGGCTGTGGCGTTCCAGTCGCCTGTGTTGTTGCTGCATGAGCCGCTTCTGTGTTTCGCTTCTTCTCAGCGTAGAAGTTCACAGCTCGGGATAAAACGAGGCCTCGGTTCGCCTCCGCGGAGCCGCTTTTTGTTTTTCCATGCTGCCCGTGTGAAAGAGCAGGGAGGGGGCTTTGACTTTTGCTGAGTCACTAAGTGACTGGCTGCTCAGACTGCATGCAGAGTGTGAGTCTGTGTGGACAGCAGAGCCACGCAAAACACTCCATACTAGCAAACACTGCAGACAGATACAGAGCCACTGGAAATGCTGCTGTTTTTGTACCCATATTATGACAAAATGTTGACATTCTTGATCCTGTATTGTAGTATTTCTGCATAATCTGACAATCAGGCCGGATGGAGATTTAATCAGAAACAATCTTAATACTATCAATATGTAGCTTTGCTTCCTAAGCTGCAAATACTTTAAGCAAAAATCTTCATAGTGATATTTCCCAGAAAAACCAGAGAACCTTGTCGTGTGAATTAGATCATCCGTCTCGCTTTGACAGACAGATAGTTGTGATATTTTCCCTTTAATCCTGTGAAAGTTAAACTCCCACATGTTTTGCTTTGCTAGAAACCAACTGTTTCCTGAAGTAAAGAGCACAGCAGGAATAAAGTGGATCCCGTCTCCATCTGGTACTAAAAGAACATTGAAAAAATGGTGCTACCATTTTAAAACTGGGATATTTCTTTGCAGAAAACCTGTTAGATATCAAACTTTAATAAGATTCTGACAGTTTATTGTCTTAAGTTAAGTTGTATTTATGGAAGCAGCGCTAACGTGTTTCTCCACCATTAGCATATTTAGTACTGCATACATGAGAGTGATTGGCGGCGTTAAGACCTTAAAAATAACATGCTGCAGCTTTAAAACATTTAGAAAGTAAAGCGTAAAGAGTACAACTTCAACTTTTCTATTTCAAAGCTCCGAAATGCATTTCGTGTTGATTTACATCCAAGCAGGAGGAACCAGGATGTGAGGAAACTCCCCATCTGAGGTCCAATCTGGGTTTGCATGAAGCTAATGAGACATGAAATTGGCTCCACTCTGCAGCCACTCCAGCATCCACCAATCAGGCGAGGGGAAGCCCCCCGCAGCCCGCAGCAACACTTGGGCTTATTAGGTTCAGCAGGTCACTGTTTTACATTCACGATCCGGTTGGCTGGGAAACTCCCCCGCAGATCATGAAACCACGTCCCAGATGTAAAAATCAACCATTTGCTGCTTGTATAAATACAAATTTCTATTAATGAAGAGCTGGAATATCAAAGCTCGCCCCGCTGGTGAACTCTGAGTTCTTTAGCTGATCTAAAGAACTGGCCAGATATTAAACTGATTCATCAACCTGATTGTGTTTCCAGATGCTGTCGTGTTTCTAAAGCGAGCAGGGATTGATTTTCTCTAACGATGGATCAAATGGAAATGAATCCTCTAAATCTGAATGTCTGGAGTTAAAATTCAACAAATGTTCCTGATGCAGTTTATGTTTCAGATCTGGAGAATCTGAAAGTCTCCATCACTCTTCCTCTTGTTCTTTCCTTCCTTCACTCCTTCCATATTTCATCCTTTCTTCCTAACTTCCCTTCTTGTGTCCTTCTTTCCTCCTTTCATCTTGTCATGTCTTCCTTTTGTACTTTTCCTTGTTTTCTTGTTTTATTAACCTAATCGTGGCTTTACCTCCTTCTTCTACTTCTTTTTTTCTTCCTTTTTCTCTTTTTTGCTCTTGTCATTTTTCTATTCCTTCACTTTTTCTCTTTTCATTTTTCCTAGTTTTTATTCTTTCTTTCTTTGTTGTTTCTCTTATTCAACCTTTTTTCATTTTTATATCCTTCCCTTTTTTATTTCCTTTCTTCATTCTTTTATTCTCTTTCCTTCCAGCTTTTCTCTTTTTTCTTTTCTAATTTGTTCCTTCCTTTCTGTATTTTTTATCTCCTTCTTTCCTTCCTTGTGTTTTGGTCTTTCCTTGTGTCTTTCCTTCATATTTTCCATTTGTCCTTCCTCCATTTCTTTCTTCTATCCTTTCACTCGTTCTTCTATTCTTACGTTTTCCTTCCTTTTATTTATTTCTTTTTTTCATCTATCTTCTTTCCTTCATTTAGTGAAAAATGTGAAATCAAATCTTGCATAAACATAAAAACATTTATTAGTGAATTTTGGCCTGTTTTGTTCCCGTAGATCCTCTGTTGCTGTGGAAATGCTCATTTCTTTAGTTTCACAGCTGATTGAGCCTCATTTTCCGTCAGAAGCTTCAATTGACAGATGGATCTCGATCAAACTGTCCTGATTGATCACCAGGAGCGTCGTCAGAATAAAAAATAAAGTAAAGCTCAGCGACCTTTGAACTCAGCTGAAATGTGCAGCCTAGTTTAAAGATTCACTCAGGGACACAGGAAGTGATGTCAATGAAGGTAAATTGTGTTGATTTAAAATTGAATCTTTTTGGACTTAAAAATTTAACTTTAATGGTTGAAGTAAAAACAAAAGCACAGATTTTTTAAAATCTTTTCAGCCGTTTATGATCTTCTATAAATTCACATAAACCAAAATAAATTCAGACGTTCATATTCAGTTCATTAGGACTTCATAAAATGCTGTTTGATTTGTGATCGATTATCAATCATTATGCTCCTATCTGATTGCTCCATCTGTTTTGTGACGTTGTGAAGTAAAACATTCCCACATCATGATACTGCCACTCCCGTATGACTGGAAAAATGACGCCATGTTTTTCCAACATGGTGATTTTAGTTTCTACTTTAGTTTAGTCATTATAATTTTGCATGCCGGTACATAACACTCTTTTTCTGTTTTTTGGTTGTTAAAATAGAAATTCACATAAAAGCAAACAAAAGAAGCGACACAAAGTGTTTCATTCTTGTTCATTTTCTTCAAATATTCTAAATTATTTACAACAAATATTGTTTGACATTTTTTTCCCATTAATTTTTTATTTTTGTGAAATAAGTTTACCTTTAAATTGGCTGTAAGTCTTATGTTTTTTGTTCCATTTTTTAATATTTACCGTCCATTTTGTTTTCTGGCCGCTAAAAAAAGTTTCCATTTATGGACTAAATTTTAAACATAGTTTTTATTTCTTTTTTCATCTTTTCTTTCCTATATTCTTAACTTGTGTCTCATATTCTCTGGATTAAGTTACTTTTCCAGATTAAATTGATTCTTAAAATGTATTTTTTTGTGTTTGTATTTAAATGTAACTTTTTTGTTGTGACGCTTTATTTTTATTTTTTAAATAATTTTTATTAATCTATTGTTTTATGGTTTTTGTGAAGCACAAACTTCCTTATGTACTGTGTAGGCCTGTCACAATTAATCAATCAATTAATTAATCACATGATAAATTAAAACTCTTTTTATGATTTTTCTTTCTTCAGTTTGGTGTTTTTGTTTCAACCTTCTGTTTTTTGGGAGATAATTGATTTTAATTGTTTTGTTTATTTTGGATATTTAAAATATCTTCCAGTTTCAGTGTCAATTCAATGAATCTCTGAGAATGTGTTGAAAATGGTCTCAGAACGATAATAATACAATTTATCGCAATAATAATCTCTTAGAAAAACTTATTGTCACCTTTCCTTATTTCCTTCTTTTGTTTTTCTTTCCTATCTTGTGTCCTTATTCCCTTCATTCCATCCTTCCTTACTTGCATCCTATCGTTCAGACTCATTTTGAAGAAGCAGGAATATTTATAATCTTTGTTGTTTTTTCTGAAATAAAAAACAACATTCATGCATTTAAAGAACAATCTAAATTATTCATGGGCTTTAAATGAAAAACACTCTGTTTTCTGTGCACATTTAGTGTTTGTGCTCCATCCTGAATCCTTTAGTTTCTGGTTTTGAACGGTGAAAAGCTGTGAGCCTCACCTCTCCTCCTGTCGCCTCGCCACTTCTCTTCCTGCAGGAAGCTGCCGCTGAAGGAGGAAAATGGCAAAGAGTCTCTCAAGCCGGATACGATTGAAATCAAAGTACACAGCGACAACAGCATCCACATAAAGCCGGACGACAGCAAGGCTTAGAGATAAATATATATATAAAGTAACGGTAAAGAAGAACGGGGTCGGCTCCCCTCGCCACCAAAAGAACATTCGGATCACGAGACCAACGGCCTGGAAAAGTGAAAATAGTGGAGCAAAATACTATATCTGTTTATATTAATGCCCGAATGAAAGGCATGTGTAAATAAAATTAAAAGAGAGGAAACGGGAGGGAAACTTTTTGACACCCAGAATGCATTTTGTTCAGTAGGAGCCTCTTAAATGATTGTATTTTATTTTATTTTCTGTCTTTTCATTGAAACTCCTCAGACATTTCCTTTTCATTGTTTTCATGGCGGTTTGTGGAACGGCCGCCATCTTTGTTTTTAACTCCTGGTGTTTTCATGCTTTGGAGACGTAGAAACAAATCAAAAAATGTTTCTAAACACTAAAAAAAGTGTTTTTGATCTGAAAGTGACCCAAAGCGTGGACACACTTCATTTTGATCCCAAATCTGTCTTTTATTTTGAAAAGAAAGGAAACCTTTTTCTGTTTCGGACTCTCTCTGATGTCGTTGTGTGTTGTACATAGATGAAAAAAACCTGGATATTTTACAGAGCTTTTATGTAAATATATTAAAACAAGTCTTTTTTTCCACAGTGCAGAAGTCTTGGCCTTCGTTTCACTTCCTCTCCCCGTTGCGTTCAGGTTCTGGTGTAATATTCCTTTTTCCGCTCATTTGCTTCCCCTTGAGGGAAACCGAACCCCGAAGCGATTCCACGGCAGTAATTATGGCATTAATGTGCCTTTTCTTTCCTTTTTTCGCTCCCTTTCGTGCGGTTCGCTCCATGAAATCAGCTTCTGATTTGCTGCTTTTCGCGCCGGAGAGAGTGGACTGATCACGGTGATGCTGCGGCGGCCGGCTGCTCTGGACTCACTGATGTGGAACAGACAGAACATAAGAAAATAGAAAAAATGTTTGTATTGTCAGACTTTCTGTCCTAAAAGTTGATCTTCTATCTTTGTTTTCTTCCTTTTTCCTTATTTCCTGATTCCTTCAGTCCTCCACTCCCTTTACTTCCTTGTCTCCTAACTAACTTCCTTAATTGTTTTCTTCCTCATCTCCCTTCTTTTTACTTTTTCCCTCCATTTTTTATCCTAGCTCCCTTTTTCCTTCTTATCTTTCCTTATTTATTTGTCCTTCATTCGTTTCCTTCCTTGTCTGACTTGTGTCCTTACTCCCTCCCTTACTTGTTTCCTTTCTTTCCTTCCTGGACTGGGAATTCAGGGAAATTGAGTCTTTTTACTTGATAAAATGCAGGAACCTGGAAGTAAACAGAGATCTGGTTCTGTCGGTGTGTAACGCATCATTATCATATGTGTGTGTGTGTGAGTGTGTGTGCATACATGCGTGTGTGTGTGTGTGTGAACATTCAGGTTGCATGTATGTCTGTTGAATGTATCTGCACGTACTGTACCGTAAGTCCACGACCGTCGGCTCATCCTGGCTTCATGGATTCAGAGTTCAGTCCAGTGGAAATCCGGCTCGGTTTCAGTTCCAGGCGTTTTTCTGTTTCCGGACGGTGGGTGATCCCCTCCCCGCCTCTGAGCTTTTATCTCCAACCCGGGAAGCGCCGCAAAAAGAAAACAAGACTGAAACGAGTTCCTGCATATGTGAATTTGGTTCTGCTGCCTGTCGATGATCACTGTAAATACCGGCGCTCAGTGCCTGGAGGCTATACAGTTTGTACATGTTCTTTTTGTATTTGGATATGAATCTGAAGCCACTCTTGTTTCCTCGATCCTTTCGGTTCTGTCAGGGGTTAAAACAGACGTGTTTGAGCTCAGTGTACATTATGTGTCCTCCCTGTCCCCATGTCCTCTGGACTGTCCCCGCTGAATTGTGCAGGAAGTGGGAACTATCGATGTTTCTCTGTATGTACCTGTGGATCACTTGTGACTCGTATCATTTTGCCGCTGTAAATAAACATGTCCTGGTAGAAGAGAGTGGCGACTTGCCTTTTACCTTTTTGTTATGAAAAGTTCAGGTGTGTGGTGTCCAAAGTGCGGCAGGGGGGCCGTTTGAGGCCCTCTGAAGGATTTTGAGTGGACAGATGCTTTTTAACTAATTAGTGAAAATTTTCTTTACAGATAAATTTCCTTTTTAAGAAATTGTAGATTGCTACTATTTGTACTGCTACTATTCTTACCTGCAGGGTTTCCACCAGTGTATTTTAAGCCTGGCGGGCACCAGGCTAAGCATTGCTTATTTATTTGAGTTTTGTTTTTTGTTTTTTTGGTTAAAATTTATTTTTTAAGCCTTATAGTTGATGTTTAGGTATTACTTTTCCAGTCATTCAGTAACACATAGTTATCAAGTGATATTTTCACATTTCTTGTCAAATTTAAACATTTTTAACTCAAAAACACAACAAATCACTGGATGGATGACGGCAGTAGGGCCCAAACATCGGGCTTAGCAAGTTGGAGCTGGTGTTAATAAAAAGCATTCAACATTTTTTAAATTTTCAGTTATCAACGTCACGCAAACAGCAAAGTTGCTAAAACATACCGTGTAAAATATTAAAGGTAGACACTTTTTCACATTTTATGTCAATGTTTTTTTTTTTTTTTTACACAATTTTGATTTGAGTTTTCATAGGAACAATAGATGCATTTGTTATGCTCTTAACAGTAGAAATACAAGATTCTCTAACACAATTAAAGATTGTATGGATACCAATTATTAATTGATCCAAAAATTTGAAGAAAATAATTTTTTCCTTTGTATTGTTTTTGTCTCAAAGGTCCTGTGCTGGAAAATTTAGAAATAATTTCCTTAAAAATGCTTGAAAAGTTCTTGAATTTTTCTGTGGGACAAGTTATGAACCCTGCAGGTAAGTGACTTAATTAGAACTAAATAAATTAAGAAACAAAGTGTAATTTGTGGTTAATGATGCCTGATGTTCTTAACTTGAAAAGAAAATTATTTGGGAGCCTGGTTTGAAAATTTCAATTCAAACCTACTTTATTGATCCCAAAGGAAAATGAAATGTTGCTGTAACTCGTATTAATTCAAGATTAGTCATTGTTATTGTAGATGGCATTTTTAAAATGGAAAAGGAAGAAAACGATGACGTCAAGAGAAAAGTTATGAAGACTGTGCAGTTTAGATGCGTTAATCAAGGTAAGTCGGGTTTTCTGTGGCTCAAAATTACGTAAAATGCCACATTAATACACATGAGACAGGTTGATAAATACACCACTAAGTAATCGGGGTATTGTTTTAAAAAATTCACCATATGTTGGGCTGTTTTTGACTGGGTAACGATGTGTGGCAGAATGGTGCTCGAATGTCCTGCAGCAGCAAACGCACCATCTGGACAGCGGCACGTGCAGCCTGGAGTCTTCTGATGGGCGCCGCTTGGAGGAGAAAATGACCCGAAGAGGCCGCTGGAGTTTTTAATCGTTTTTAGCATTAAAAACTCCCACATTTCAGACAAAACAGTATAGGGCCATTTTGGGAAATTAAACACTTTTTTTAATGGAAGCTGAGGTGAAAACCTGCTGAGGGGGAGCAGAGGATTCCGCCAAGAAGAGGAAATCTCGGTAGAAAGTCAGGTAAGCTAACTTTGCTAACGGCTCTTTGCGCGTATGGCGCTGACGTCATATCCGCTTGAGTGAAATGCGGCTTCCTTGTTTACGTTTTGAGTTACTATGACAGCCAGAAAAGACAAAGTCGTATTTCAGAAGCAAATAAATAGCATGAACATTACTATCTAACGAATAAGTTTTTATGGAAGTAAGAAGATGGCGGCTTGTTCATCTTCCTGAGAGACCTGGAGGAAGTCTTCTCATCAAACTCTTGAATGTTATGATTACTGTTTTAATTTCCCTCTTAAAAACAAACAGCAGTGATGGACCACACAGAAACTCCTCTGAGGTCTCCAGATCACTCTTTAAGCCTTCAGGTGAAATTTCTCTGCTAATCTTTCCTTCTGCAGAGACTCTCCTGATACTCTAATCCCACCTGTTAGAGAAGTTTGGGAAGTCCAGGAGTAAATCCTTCTGACATTGTTGGAAGTTTACACACCGTGAAGAGCCTGCATGCTCTTTAGTCACTTCTCTCATGGCTAATTTCTGTAACTTTGCCCACAATAAAGAAGTGGAGCGTCTACTGACTTTGAGCCATGCAGACAAATCCAGGAGAGATTTCTTTTTGGCATAAACAAGCCTCCTCTTCTTTAATCTTCTTTATTTCACACTCGCCCAGCACATTTGTTGATTTGACAGGAGAGGAGAGGGAACAGGAAGGGAATGTGTGTGTGAGGAAGGCTGGAGGTATAAATCCCATTGAAGAATGGTGACGCGATAAATCTCTAAAGACAGGAAAGATTAAACATTTTGTCTTTGGCCAGGAGTTGTCAGTAAAAGAAGCTCTTCCTAAGCTCATTATCAGTTAAAATACCATATTTAGATTGTGTTTCTTCATTATTTCACATCCTGTACTGTTTTCAGCACTTAACTGATTTTAATAATTCACATAGCTAAATGTTCAGCTAATTCTGTAGTTTTATTTATGATCATTTTTGAGATATTTGATGCAAATTTTAACTCAATTGAAAATCTTCATAATTTCACAAACACTGTACTGTTTGGCAGCTTCCTGCTTCTGTCTACTTCAACTTAGAAACTCCACTGAGCTCTTCAATAAGTCACACAACATTAGGCTATCTTCAGATGATTTAGCTTTTTTGATATAGCTTACAGGTTTTCTATAATAATGGTTTAAGTTTTATGCAGATTTTCAATTTTATTCAGTTTTTCAATGTAATCCAATAACGGAATTCATTTAAGCTTTTTCAAGTTTGACTGCTTTTCCACAAACAAAATGCTGCTGTTTTTACATATTTCACTCCAGAGAAATAATTTATGCACCAAAATGTAGCCAAAGGTGTCTGTTTTCAGGAAATGTAAACATCATTGCCATAGGTCTTACAGTTTTCTTTCCAACATCTTCAGAGTGCAGATATGTCACAGCTCTTCCTGCGCTTCATGATAACTACAGAAATAAAAATAAAGTGGCTAAATTCAGGTTTGCGTTAGAAAATTAGCTAATTTTGTTTAATGAATGGTGGAAAAAATCAACAACAAGGTGATTTTGTTGTCCATGTCTGCCTTGTAGACGTTTGTTTTAGGTTGTCCAAAATAGGGTCCGGGGACCATTTGAGGCCCTAAAATGATTTTGTTCGGCCCCTGACTGTTAGGAATAAAAACTATAATGATGAGCAGGTACAAAAAAATGTAAACTATATCACAGACTTTTTAATTTATTTAGTTTACATGTTTTGCAAAAGTATCCTTAATCCTATTTTACTGGGATTTATGTGATTGTCCACTTTAAATGAGTATTATTAGTAAAGTTGAAAGTGAATGAAAAATTATTTAACATTTATTTTTACGTTTTATTCAGCCGTCTTGTTTCAGTGGATACTTATTGATATATTCTGTGTAATTTTGCTTTTTCTTTTTTCAAAACGTGGCAGGTTGTCTGTTCATGAAGCTGCACCACCAGGGTACAAAATTAGCATGTTGTTTTCAGCTTGTCTTTGTTAAACGTCATTTCGATGTTGTCTAAAATCTTCATTATCCAGAGAAACGTAGTGAACTTTTTTCAGTGACTCGTTTTAATCTGCAGACTGGGTCTGGTTTATGGTTTTCCCCTCACATTCTCTATAAAGGTCATATTTTAAGTCACTAAGTTGGCAGCAGCGTCTCTGAAGGCCTGAGATAAACCACTCACAGATGGTCAGTATTTACTAAATGGGTCTGGATTTAATCGTTGCTGTGAATTTTATTTAGGGGTATTGGAGTGAAGCAGCAGAATGCAAATGATAAAGTTTCAGGGTCATGAATACAATCTGGAAGGCGCCAAGTTAAATCTTGGATGCTCCTAAAGAAAAAACATACTTCTTTAGAACAAATCTACAAAATATAAAATTGCATCTTCCTGTGTGTGCAAGTTAGCAGTTCAATCACAGCAATAATCTGCTTTAATAAGTGTTGGTTAAGATTGTGGGTTCAATCTACTGCTTTTCTTCTCCAGGACTCTTGTCACATTCAGACTCATTTCCCTTTGGGATCATTTGGATCAAAACTATTTCCTTTTAAAATATAAAACTGCAAGAGAAAATCACTTTGGAAGTGTAGTTTATTTTCTATCAATTTTATTCTTTTGTAGATAACAAAGTCACCTTTTGGTCGTTTCATCTCTGCCTTCACTGCTTTCTTTGAGTGTTTTGTTTTGGTCTCAGAGTAAATAAGCCTCTCAAGCCTCTTTGTTGTTCTTCACTCATTTTGTGTCTCATTGAAGTCTGACTCTCTGCGGCCATTTTAACTGCCGTTAATAGTCTTGTGTTTAAACTCCTGGACCTGAGGCCTGTACTTCCAGTTAATAATCCTTCTTTGGCTAATTTCATCCACCTTACAGGACAAATGTGATCTGCATGACTGTCCACAGGAGGAAAACAAACCCACTGCTCCATTTCAGAGTAGTTTGAGATCAGTAGCCAATCCATCTGTTGTGTTCAAATGCGCTCTCTTTTCTCTCAGTATGTTGTTTGTTTCTAAAGTTACATGCTGCGAAAATTTCTATAAAGTCTTAAAAAATGCAAACATTTAGAAAACAAAAAATAAATATGCAATGTTTAGCCTGGTTGGGGCCAAGTTAAGCCTGATGACCCGCCAGGCTTATAAAAGCTTGATATCACTTTTCCACACACACCAGGTTGTTTTGGACAAATTTTCTTCTCTTAAATAAACACATTCACTCAGCTTGTCATTGCCTGATATGATGTGAAACATTTAAATAGGACAAAAAAGAAAATCTGCAACACTTTTTCTCAGGAGGGAAATGAAAAGACTCCTCCTTAATGGTTGTCTCAATAAACCAAGAAGACTAAAAGCTTTACTTATCTGGATGCTCAGGCAGTAAAGTGGTGTTTAGC